TTTTCCTTAGTGTTTTTTTTTTTTTTTTTTTTTTTTTTTTTTTTTTTTGCAGGCACCGAGTAGCCTTCTTGATGCTTTGGAGCAACATTTAGCTTCTCTAGAAGGGAAGAAAATCAAAGATTCCACAGCTGCAAGCAGGTGCTTATGCCCTTGTCCTTTTAAGCAATTGTTAGATTGAATGTTAACTCCATTATTTTCAATTTTGTTATAAACTAAGGTTTTTGTAGGCTATGTTGAAGACACTGTATTAGCAATGATAGAATAGCAAGTTATCATACCTTTTGCTGAGTACTTAAGACAGTTTATCCAGGTCAACAGAACTAGACTTTAAGGAGCAAGGAGCTGCAAGCACTTGCTGTAGAATCCCTCAAGCAGTAGTTATACTTTTAACATCTAATCTTGAACTTCTGAAAAGAAGCTATTTTTTTTCATTTACTGTCTGCAAATATTCATTTTATGTTAATAATTAGACTTCTGTAAGGTATGCAACATTTATTTAATGTCCTTAGACTCTTAAATCCCAACTTTAATCCCTTTTTTGTCAAAAGCAAGGAAATGCTTCCAGAAGTCCTTACATTAAGAATGACTTTTTAAAGTTGGGGATTAAAGCCATAATGTATATGGTAAAAGGCATTCACTGATTTTGAGTGCTTTCTAAAACACAAAGTGCAATCTAGAGAAGTCCTCTAGACAACTAACTTCATTGTTTAAATCTAGAAAGACTTAATACTGGCGGGAGGGTTTGCAAAATTAAATAGTATTTCTTTATTGCATGTTCAAAAAATAAGGCAGTAACATTTTATATATTCTTTTTTTATCGTAGTGACAATATTAGGGCTTAGCACCATTTTGTTAGCTGCTTTTCAGAATATTTTCTTTCTTTTGTGTGATTAGTTTGTTTTAAAAATTAAGTATTTATTGATTTTAAATCTTTCTGCACACTTAAACATAATGATAAATTGCAAACTTTTCCTCTGGGATATACTAGTTGCATTGATATTTTCTTAACTAAACCTGTTAAATTAGCAGCAATTTGAATTGGAGCCCACATTATCAGCGGTTCCCGTGTATCTACAAATAATGCCATCTTAGGCAAACAGAAGAGCAAAGGCTTCAAACATGAATTCTGTGATGCAGTTTGGAGGGGAAACATTTAAGGGGGAAAATCCAAAATCCAGTGTGTAAGAGCAGATAGCATGATTTCTAGGCATTTTTATTTTGCAGTTCATATGGTGTATCTTATTTAAACTTATCACTTCCTATTGTACAGCGTAAGATATAACCAATGTTATAAAGAGTTCAGAAGGAGGCTGGGTGGGTACAAGCAAAGTGTTCTTTAGATGATCCTACCACGTCGCCTATTAACAGCCAGCTTTTCTCCTGTCCAATTACTTTAGGGCTACCACCCTTTCCAATGCCGTCTCTTCCCTTGCAAGCACTGGCCTGTCCCTCACAAAAGTTGATGAAAGGGAAAAACAAGCTGCATTAGAGGAAGAACAGGCTCGCTTAAAAGCTTTAAAGGTAAGCATACAGAATTTTTAATGGCAAACACTTTTTCTATGTTCTTGTTGATAGCTTATTAGGATTCTTAAAGAAGCAAAGGGAAAAAAGAGCTATTAATACTGAACATGTATGGTTGGCAAAGCACTGGACGTAGAATCTTATGTAAATATATATACACTGTACAACTTGTTAAAATAATTTCTGAAGGATTTGTGGCACCACTTTTGTAAGTTGCTGACACTGGTGTGTGGAATAAATAAAAAGAATTCTTCAGTTCTGCTTTACTTACCTCCAAAGTCATATACGCAAATGTTGTTTCAGGATTTCTTATGCCACCTCACTTTCCCAACAGGAGCAACGTCTAAAAGAACTTGCAAAGAAACCTCATACCTCTTTAACAACTGCAGCTTCTCCTGTGTCAACGGCAGCAGGAAGCATAATGACTACACCAGCCATTGATATTTTTTCTACCCCTAGCTCTTCAAACAGGTATGCTTAATGGTGTTGCTTCATTGTGAGATGCACTGCAGCTAGGGTTTCCTCTAAATTTCTACTGCAGAGTGTACATAGCAGAAGGTTGGTTGGGCGTAGAGTACATTAGTGATGTAATAAGAAATTATATTTTGGGTAAAGTTGATGGGAAAATAACCTATTGCCATAAATAACATAAAATGTGTGTTTTCATCGTCCGTTTGCAGAATATTTCCTGATACGAACCAACTGCTGACAGCCCTTGTAGCTGTTCTTAGTTGGTGAGCCAGACAGTTGGAACTGTAAAACAGACATGCTTTGTCCCCAAAGAACCTTACAAGTTGGGAAAAGTCAAATAAAAATTCAGTTTGGGAGGTCATAAAGATAATATTGAATTTAATGTTGCATTTCTAGATCTTTAAAAGTAGAGTGGTAACAAATGTTCTTGCTAGATTTTCAGAAAAAGGAAAGCCTGAAACAGGGTTTGAAAGAAGAGAGGCAGGTTTTGCAGCCTTGAGTTATATCTGGAGCATCTCTGTCTGCAAGGACTTGTAAAGATAGCGCAAGAGTACTCACTGCACGCTAATCCTGATCTTTGAGTAGCAGGAACTGTTGGTATGAGTAAGTGCGTGATCTTCATTCTGTAAATAGCAGTCAAATCAAGAAGTAGCAGAAGGTACATGCTTTTATCATTACAGAAGGAAATAGTTCTCTGAAGGCATATTTTTGCTTTGAGGGTGATCCTAAACATAAAGGATTACTTAGTTGTTCTGTTAGAGCTCACATAAGAATATACTGTTCTTTTAAAGCAGTCATCACTTTGACAGCCTTCTTTCTCTATTAGAAAGCTATTGTAGGAAATTATTTGACACCAAATACGGTGGAAAATAGCTGAATCGCATGTAAGGAGCTAGAAAATCTGTCAGTGTTAGTAACTGAAAGACTCCCTTGACAAAAGATTTTCTTTTAAATTGCTTTTTAGAGGCCAAAATATTTGAAATGGCTGTATGCTTTGAACTAGTAACTTGAATATCTGATCTTGCTTCTTAAGAGGTCTGAAACATAGAAACATCTGATAAAGCTTCTTCAAACAGCCAGAAATGCTACATAGTGGAGACAAGAGCGTTTTCTTCTAAAAACCCAAATGCTAGTTTGTCTTCACGTTTAAATTCAGTTGCTGGCAGTATGACTGCTATGAGCAAAGAACAGATTTTATGGCAGGAGCTGCCATGAAGGGGATATGTTGGGTCATAAGTTCAGTTGCTTGCTATTACATGCAATGTGTCTGATTAATCCCAATAATTAAGTTGAACAAGCTTTATCTTGAAAATTATCTTGGTTCTGCTGCTCATATTACAGGGCTGTGCCAGACCATGCAGCTTTTTAATAGGAGCAGTAGTGGCAAAATGTGATTTCAGTCACTGTTGAATGAAATAGTAAGAACTGAATGATACAAGTGATTGGATCAGCAAGAGAATATACAGAGATCTAGGATGCCGCTACTAGCCTTTAAACTCTTGTGCCAGTCTAATTTCAAAAGATGCTTGGATGCCACAGCGACTTGGCTTCCATCCGTAGCAGCCATATGTGTGAATTTTGGTTCATTTTGTGTTCTAAAAAGTTCTGGGTGAACACCCGTGCTTCTTGCCCCGCCCCGACTAATTTAAAGTATAAAACTAACTCTCTGCAACAGGATGAATTTTACTGTTCCTGTTTGACTCTTGAAATTATTGCAGCAGTTGTATTTAAGACTTCACTCTTCACTTCCATATGATGTTCTTGGGTGTCATTTTGGTTTTGAATAGTCTAAAATGTGCATTTAAATGAGTTTTCACATGATTGATGTGTGATCAGGTGTTTCAAGGCAGCTTATACTTTGCTTTCCCCAAAGTTCTGTAATAGCTCATAGATGTAAGCCAGTTTCTCAGCAGTGGTTGATAGTGGAAAGATACGAGTTGTGCAATTTAGATGTAATGTTTTGGTGCTGCAGCCCATTAGGGTTCATTCTGTCAATCTGCTTTTGTCATACTGTAGGGCTTTCATGAGGTTATTTTAAATGCTGCCGAAGATTGCAGAACATAACACGCTCTAGCCCTGGTGTTGGACTGTGAGGAAGACGAGAAGTCTGGTTGTCTTTTTGTCTTAGCTTTGACAAAAGTCACTTGGCATAACATAGAACTTAGCAAGCCAAATTAACACTTCTACAGAACTGAAAATGTGAAGTTCACTAGACTTTCTGATTTTGGCTTACTTTATCCATTTTGTAACAACCATTCTGTAACAAAGTTTTCCTTACTGTTGACAGTCGCTAGCATTTGCCTTGTATTGAAAACCCTGATGTAGTTCAAACAGTTGTATTAATTTATCTTTGTAGCACTTCAAAGCTGCCAAATGATCTGCTTGATTTGCAGCCAACTTTTCATCCGTCTGTACATCCTATATCTGCTGCTCCACAAGTAGGAAGTACCTGGGGAGGTAAGAATTCTGAATGGGATTAAGGTTCTAATTGCTATGGCCATGTTCCTGTAAACATTTCCCCTAGTCTGTGGCTGTTTCTTCTTTAAAGACAGAGATCTTGCAAAGACAAGCTACAAGTGGATGAAGGGAGCAGAAAAAGTCAAACCTGGGTATGGATTGAAATAACATAGCAGCATGTGGTGATTACAAAGAATTTTGATACAAGAGTTCTTAGTAGCAAGGTTACTTTAATTGTTGACCAGCTCTGTCAGCCCTTTACCTGCTGTCTTCGAGAGTCACATAGCAAGCTACAGAAATGCAGCTGTGAGAAGTCAGTTCTGTGAAGATGTCTGCCACATAGTCCATGTTGCAGACTAGGAACTTGAATACGGAATGTTTTTAATACACATTTTAAATTTTGTCTAAAGTTAACTTTGCAGATGATAATACAGCAGAACTTAGATGAGGCCTGAAAGGAGGCAGTTGTGACAACTATGCGTAGAAGGCAAGAAAAGCCAGAGTTAGTTATTGAAAGCAAAATGAGGCACCGCTTGACAAATTCTCTGCTGTATTTCATTTAACTACAAAGGCAAATTACCAAAAAGCTGTGATTGGATCTCTTCACTTAAAGAGATAAAATTTATAAGGAACTCTTCCCTCCTTAAATTTCATTCAGAACACCCTTGTTATCATCCTGCCTGCTTGCTAGGATGGAGTGAATGAGATGTTAAATTATCTTATTGATATAGGCAAGTCCTTAAACCAAGGAGGCAATCAAGAGCATTTTAGAAAGTCATGAATGTTACTTCAAGATTAGTTTGAGTGTTAGAGCATTTAGTCATTTACTTAAAGCCGTTTTTCTCTTTGCTGCTTTGCAGTGTTCCAGAATACTTCCGATATAGGTAACACGTTGTCTGCTTACACCCTTAGTTATATTGGTGGAGGATTAAAAATCTCTTAGAAAGATGTTTCTTTTTACTTTTCTACATATATAACAAGGCTTTTTAAATATATACTTTTCTACATATTTAATAAAATAGTCAACTCCTGAACTATGTGGCTATTTCCAGATTATTATTTTTTTTTATAAATCAGATGCTTGCAAAAATGCTTTCTTTTATAATGTGAAAAATTGGGAATTGCTGCTTCAGAAAATTTTTTAGGCATCAGAATAACCCTCTTCTGAAATTTTTCTTCACTTTCTTTTTGAGCTATAGCTTTTCCTGAACACCTTTCCAGTTATCTATCTTCATGATAAGCAGTGTATGTGTTCTACTTTCCTATTTACTTTTTGCTGTGTACTTTGTGTTTTGTGTGACTTCTCACATTTTTTTCTGTAGGGAAATAACACACAATTTCGAGTGATGGAGGCAATACTAATATATGTGGTAGCTTCAAAAATAAATAAAAGTAGTTTACTAGTCCTTCAGTTTTGCTGAGCAGAGCTGCTTTTGAGAAAGATGCAGTGAGGAGTGTTTTGAGTTATGCATACGAATTTCAATGTTTAATAGGCTTAGAGTTTAGAAATGGACAAAAATGTTTTGGCTCATCTTGTTTGCTTTCTGGAAAATATGTTCTGTTTCAGCTTGTCCTATTTGTTTCACGGGTGAGAGATAAAAGGGGAAATTATCTTCCTCTCAGAGGTCACATCACAGTCTAGTATTTCTTTATTAACCTGAAAATTGAAACTGAAAGTCCGTATTTGTTCAATGTTGTGTTAGTCCTGGTAAGAGTCTTCAGTAATAGTCACTGATATATCTGCTTACTATTGACACATTTCTAAATACTTCTAAGTTTTAATTAACGGTGAAGATTTTTGGATTGTCTGCTAAAATTTTAGGCTAAAATCGTAGGATCACCATTTTTTGTGTTACCTTTCATCAAAAAAAAAAAATCTCTTCAGCTTTACAGACATGAACACTCACTTCACATAGGTGAGGTAGATAAGAAGTGCTTTCCACATTTTACAGATGGGGAAATCTGAGCAATTAACTGACTTGTCTGAAGTCATACGGCAAGCCAGTGGCAGAGCCAAGAATGGAACCTGAACTATTTCCAGTCCTGTGCTCTAACCACTGCACGGCATCCCTCCCTTAGGTAATTTTCTGACATGATGATGTTTGTATTTGGTGTATGTGGTGACTTTGAGAAGAATATCGAGCCAGCTACAAGTTGCAATGGACTAAAATCAGTTACAGTTAAAAATTTTATGCAGCAGCTCTTAGGTGTGTAATAAAAAGATTAATTGTTACAAAGGCATTATATTTGGGTTACTACTTCCAAAAATGTTAAACCTAACGAGGTTAAAGTCTCCCGGAGAGTGGGTTCTGTAATTGCATGTTTTCAAGCTGTAAGAGATGCTACTGAAAGACCTTTGTCATTATTCTCTCAGGTAAAATAGTTCTAGTGGTATAACTTAGTTAGAAGTTTGCAAAATTCAGTTTACTCTTTTAAATGCACCTGAATCATTGATGCCTAATGATAGCCTGAAGGTGCAGAGTGATTCCATTGACACAAACAGATGCCATGTGTATTCAGCTTTAAAAGCTGTTTGGGGCTTTAGAAGCATTGAGGTGTTGCTGTCAGGTGAGACAGCAATTTTTAAAATCTGAATGTGCAAAGATATAAATTACCCAAATGCAATTAATTTTCAGTTACCTTTGTCACTAGCATTGGCAAGTTTTGAAACTTGGACAAAATTGAACATGCTGGCTAGAATTAGAATGAGGCAGACGAGCGAAGAGTCTGAGAACAGATTACATTTCTGAGAAAGTCTTGATAATCTGAAGTTGTATTGCATTGTTTTACTAGTCCAAACACATTAAACTCCATATACAACCTTGGGATTTGTATGTAGTAATTTTCCTACTGAGTGCATGTGTAAAATAATTCCAGTGGACAGTAGTTTCAAACAAATACGATTAAAAACGTTTTGTCCTTTTTTTTAGCTTCTCTCATATTGTTTTTTCTGAGCTGTTTATTGGGATTGTTCAGAGATCATTCCAGCTGTGTCTGGTATATTTGCCAGCTATCAATTTGTACCTAAACTTCAGAAGCAATACAGATGTATCAGTGTGGAAATAATGAGTTTGACCTCCATGTTTGGATTTTTTCCGAATACAAGGAGAACCAGTAGAATCAGAAGAATGTGAAGCAGCAACAGAAAAAGCAAGCAGGGGCTGATTAAACGATAATCTGACCTGCTTTATTGTCAGATGTGTTCTACAGCTTCTAGAATATCATTCAAAGCAGGCAACAGTTTTAAGCAGTACCTGAAAGCAAGGACTTAGTTTTAGGTGACTGATTGACTGACATGTCCACACGTACATTAGGTGTTAATATTACTATCAAAACCATATATAATACAAAGTTTTGTATTGCTGTTACATATGGCAAATATTTTATTAGCTAGCTCTGCTTATCCTTTATTCAGTGTTTGACACTATCTTTTTGCTGACTCAATGATTTAGAAAAAAGGCTTTTTCAAGTACTTCACTCATTCTTGCAACGTAGCCGATCAACTTGGGAGAGAAGTCGGGTCTTACCGAATAAGGTATCTTGAGCTTGCAGGAAATCAAAGCGTGTATTAAGCCTGCAAAGAATAATGCAGTTATGGCTTTAAAATTTCATTTTCTTTAGGACTTGCATGTGACTGAAATCCACATGTTATGAAGCTGTGTGGGATTTGTAGCTAAGAATCAGGAGGTCAGATTCAGGAAGAGAAAATAACTTACATTTTGAAGCTGCTGCACACATCATGGTACTATTTACAAGAGTTGTGGATAAATCTGTAATCTAACCAGGTTTTACAAAAAAAAAAAAGAGGCCAGAAACTGAAGTACTCAAGAAACCTCTCCTATAATTACTATTCAGACATTTCTCTGTAGTGGTTTTGCCGAGAACAGTAAGTTGCGGTTCTAGGCACTGTGATAAAATAAATAGGGCTAGGTGCAACTCTTGCTGATCTCACTAGTGAGTTCTTGAGTTTTCCGTCAAGGATTTGTGTGCTTTGAAGTCAGACAGCTAAACCACAGCTCCTTCTCTCAGCAAGTGTTGTACCTGCCTTTCCTATCCTGTTTATCTGTTGGATCCTGGAGTACAGGAGTATTTTAGCTTGGCAATTGTATCCATCCTCAGGAAACCTCGAAAATCTCCTATATGCCTCAGGAGGTGACTTACGTAGATCCATGTTTCCTTCATTCCCCAGTATGGTCCAACAGTTTTTTAATAATGAACATTTTTCCTCGCCGCTGCTCACTGTCTGTTGTCCCCCAAAGCAGAGCAGGTTTTTGCTTACTTGCAGCTGATGGGATATCTGCAACAAGCTTGTTGCTCTTGATGCCCCACATAGTAAGGAAAGTGCTTTTGTCCTGTACACTACGCTGGACTATTCATAGCTCTCAAATTTCATGATGCCCAGTAACAAAAAAATCCATAAACACAGTTTGAAGAAGGAAAAGTACAGCTCCGTTGTTTTTGTTTGTCTGGGTTTTTAAAGCTATCCTCAGGATGGTATTACATTAAATCCTCATTTAGCACCTGGGGTTTTGTTATGCTAAGAGGCAGTCTCCACTCCAGAGAATTTGTTGCAAGTGTCAGGACACGGCTGAGAAGCAAAAAGTGCTTGTCTTTAAAAAGGAATAACATACTAATTTTCAATATAAAACACTGTGGAAGAAGCACACTTTATAAGACCAAGATGGTATTAATATTAAAAAGTAAATGCATAGCTAGTATCTGTAGTATTTTTCTTGAGCAGACAACAGATAATTCTGGACAATTTGAAAATGAAACAATTAGCTAGGTCATCCCAAGTTTAGAGATGTCAGGAGAAAACTAATACTTCCTGGACTCTTCTTAACTCTTACTCTCCTATACCTAGGAAGCAGCATGTAACTAAATTCATCTCCCTTTTCTTCTTTCTCTTGCTCTCTGGAATTGAACAGATCCTTTTTCTGCTACTGTTGATAGTGTTGATGATGCCATTCCAAACCTAAATCCTTTCCTTACAAAAACTAACGATGCTGCTCATCTGTCTGTGTCTTCTGATGTATCTACTTTCACCAGTAGGACACCCACACATGAAATGTTTGTTGGTAAAGTACCATTTTAAACTAATTTCCTATTTCCTAAAAACTTTAACATTATTTCAGTTTCTAAAGTATATTTGTGGGGCCTTTCAGAAACTAAAAGATGGTCATTTGGGGCTCATTTTGTGCTATGTTAGAACTTGATTTAGTAATTGTGCCATGAAAATGGTGTTAAAATCCTTGCTTGGCTACCTAGATGCGATTCTACCTGATGTAAAGGAACTTAGTTGTAGTTAAAGCAGTTGTTTGAGTGCGGTTTTACACAAAGTCTTTTATGCTTAGGATTTTTAAGGTAAAATACTACGTATGCCTGAGAACGAAAAGAAAATGTTGCTACTCTGTTCCTCAGGCTGGAATGTTCTTTTTAAACATAGGAACTTAATCTAATTTTTTTGGTAGTGCGTGTTTTTCCCCCAGTCATGTTGGCATTAACAAAACTGGTAAAGCTATGCACATTCTGGTGCATGATCTACTCAAACTGTTTACCTACGAGGCAATAATCTACTGACTCATCTTTTTAAACCTGTTGAAATCTTACTTTGGAGGTGATTTAGTATGGCTGTCATATTAGAAATCCTAACATTTCTGTTGGTACAGCTACATAGTAATCTGATTACTTTTCAATATGAAGAATTAAGTTAGCTTTCATAGACTAAAGATCAATTCGTTACATGCCAGTTCTGTTCGTAAGCAAAGCTAGGTTTAAAGACAATCATGCTGCAGCAACGGGGCTTTCTTTTTGCAGGTTGAACCCCACTAGAGTTAATCACGGAAGAATCCAGACTCTCATAACAGGGGGAACTTCGATATCTCTGATACTCGTTAACAGAGATAAAACAAAGGCGTCTCTTTAGAGATACTCATACCACCTACACTTTGTCACCTTAGCTAACTAGTTTCCTAGCTTGTCTTTGGTTAGTGGAAAGAGAAAGCAAGATCTTTAAGCACAAGAACTCTTGCTGTGAACTGGTTCCCAGGGAGGATTAGTTGGCTGAGGCAGTAGTATACGAATACTTTAAGCTGGTACTACTGCGTAATAATCTGGCCTGTGCTTCTAATCGGTCGTTCCCTCGTCTCCAATAAAATTTGTATGGTTCACATGAATGTAGAATGATCATTTGAAATATAGCTTTTTTTAGTAGGGTTATTATTCAATCAGATCTGTTTCCTCTGTATAATCTGTTCTGCAGTCATACAAAAGGTTGTGGCAGTGCAGGGCTGTGAACAAGGAGCCTGGTGGGGTTTTGTGGCACATGCTGGTTTGTGTAGTATTCATCACACGAGAGCCCTGAAGTCGCTCTACATGGATGGCATTGATAAATTGCATTCCCTTCCAATGTCTCCTTCTCTAAAGATACATCTAGAACCAAAGCGTGACCTCCTGACAGATTGATATGTGAAATGTAAATGCAGTTTTAGCTGTAGCACAAACAAGGTGCTACAATAATGTGAATGTGGATTTAAAATAACTCTTTCTGGTTCTTTAGATCATTACAATCCGTTTACTGAACTAAATCCCTTTGTGGCAACCAAATATCCCTTTGTGGCAACCAAATATGAATCCACTATTGGGGTGTATCCTTATACTTCAGGTATAAGAAAAATGCCTTGATGCTTTTACACTCATTTTTTCCAAGGGTGTAAAACATGGCATTTGCTTGGAAAAAAAAAAAAAGTATATATCCTAATATAGCTGTAACTTTGAAACCGTGCTTTCCCTTTTTGTGCTATAGATAATGTAAACTTGTTTCTTAGTGTATGTCTGATGTGTATTGATTCCATTCCATTGGTTCTATGTTATTAGAGTATACGTGGATTTATAGACTGACCTGAAATTAAATTTTTGAATAGCAGATAAACAGTATATCTTGGTTCTCTTTCTGTAACTCTTCCTCTTCTCCCTTCCTGGCTTTCTCTCTTGTGTGATATGCCTTATCAGATTCTTTTTGTGGTCCTCAAGCTTACCCTAATGCTTCTCATTTCCGCAATGAGCCTTCTTCTGTAGCTGGTCTATTTGGAGGTAGGTAATGGGATACAGCCTTATCACAAACACAGAAATATGAATGTGTTGTGTGCCTAGAACTAGTAGGTATGTTATTGGCTACAGAAGTGCATTATTATAGTGGCTCCAACTTTTATTCATGTGCTTGTGCTAGGTGTGTTGTCACAAATGGTATATATTTTTTCCAGTTTGTGCTAAATTAAGGCTTGTTTATCCTAAACATGAAATGAGTATCTCCCCATTTCAGGATCTCTTGTAGTTTATATGTTGCTACATACCACACAAAAGACTTGCATGTTACAAGTATCTTCTCATCTTGCCCTCCCTGATTCCTTTTAAGATAAAGGGATTGGGATGTTCTTGCTGCTTATGGCATTTTTGTTGATATATTACTCTTAAACAGTGCACTAAACTAGTACAAAGCTTTGCAAGAGAACGTGAGAAAGAGGTATCCACTGCATTAAATTACTGTCTAATCATTTGTGCAGCTGGGTAATGTCTGTATAGTAACCCAGTACTGATGCTGGTTCTGGAATACCATCCTTACAGTTGCTAGATGGGCTGTGGGTTGTGACAGATGATAATCTATCTAAACTAGATTGAAAAGGGAGTGTTAAACACCGTTGCTATGCAAGGTTTAGGAATACCTTCAATAAATGGTTTGTCGAAGAGTTAATTCTTAAAAGCACCACAAAGTCACGTTTTGGTTTAGTGTCTTTGAATAGAAATTAGCTGGAGTCATTTAAGGAAAGGTTAAATACTATGTAAGACTCCTGTTCCCTTTGTTCTATATCCAAAAAGCAGGATGATTAGTTTCTGTCAAGTCTTGTTGGTTTATTCCCTCAAAGGAACTCCATTAAAAATACTGACCTTTGCACCTTTCAAAACATCCATGTTAGACAAAATGCCTTGGGCTGGTGGCTGATACCAGGAGTAGGATTTGATCTTTTTCAGAGGCTGATTCAAAGAAGTCCTATGTATTGTTGTGTCTTCTAGCTAGTCTCATCTCATTAGCTTCATACAGCTTGAAACTTCCTAAAATGTGAGAGCAGGAAACTCGGCTTGTTTCAGTTAAGGCCATTTTCTAAAGAAAACTATGAGCTATTGTAAGTCAAGTTTTCTGTTGGTACAGGCACGGTTTTAAGAGTTGCAGGACATCCCATCAAAGGAATTCCTATCTGCAGTTCAGAGTCTCTGAAATGGCTTGTTACAACTTGACGGTATACTTGTCATAAAGATACTCATTTTGGTTTGTTGTTTGTTTACTCCCTATCTTTTCCCACATTATTGCTTCCCATGTTTTGCTGTATGCTGTTTTCTTTGATTTGTTTTTAATGAAAAGTACATTGTTTGAATTCTTAGAGATGGATGCATTTGAGTTATGAGTTGTGTAAGACAACTTTAAGACAAATAGGAAGAACAAGTAATCCAAACTTCTGTGAAGTTTATGTTCAAGGATAGCATCCTATAGTTGTTAATTTTTTAAGTGAAATGTGACTTATGTCAGGAAAACAGTAAGATTGACATGAGGTGCTGTCATGCAAGCTAAAGGAAGTCCAAGAAGTATTCTTGGTCAGTTGTTTCTGCTCACTGCGAAGTTTTACCACTGAACTATTTGTGATCCTTTTTTTTTTTTTTTTATTTCTCCGTATCATCAACATTTCTGTTAGAATCCAGAAGAGTTAGTTTTCAAGATGGCATCGCATTTTTATGGTGCTTCTCATATAAAGTAATAATTACTTAAGTAATTTCCTGAATATCAAGATGATATACATGCACGCTTGTGTGTGTGATCATATATAACATTAAAAACCACAATTTTAGAAACAAATTAGTATTCATTTCCATATTACTGAACTATCAGCTTAATACTGCTGAACATCATACGCAATGCTTTGTACTGCAATAAATTTTCACAGTATTGAAAAAAATTGTGTATTTGGAGAACACTGCTTTACAGATACATAGGAGGCAAATGGAGTAAGTTCAGACAGGAATAGGAGTTGAAACTTGCCTTTAACTCCCTGTATCTTGCCATAATTACTGGAAACTTACCAGCAAAACATGGTCACCTGCAAAATGTGTGTCCAAAAATAACTAAGTGCTATAGAAATTATTAGTATTAAGAGTGTCTAATCAAAGGCATTACTAATCAGACACCTTGGGATGGTTTGGATCTTACTCCACTTGTGTCTAAGAGAACTGCTCAGCTAACACAAAATACGGAGGGAATAATCTTCAGGCAGGTAATCTTGAAACAGATGCTGTACCCAGACAGCTGCTTTTCCTGGAGAAGCATGGTGATTAGTTGCTGAATAATTTTTTTTTTTTTGCAAGTATTTGGTAAAAGAATAAGGAAGATGTGAATAGTTAGTCCAGAGATTCAGCAACTGGGGGAGGAGGAGTGTCTTTTATGGCCTGTCTGTCCAGTTTTTGGGACAAAACCATTTTTGGGGTGGAGTAACTTCAGTTACTCTTCAGTAAACTGCTTCCAGCTCTCTCGCTACGTGCTTCTTGGTGTCAGGGTGTAATCTGGACCTTTGAGGTATTCCTAGTCTTTCTGTGGCACTTAAATAATCTACATATTTATTTGATCTGTCTTGCATAAAGAAGGTGGATTCAAGGGAAATGCTGCATAAAAACATTCAACTTCTTTCTTTTTCCCCACAGGGTTCACTCCATCTCCTGTTGCTCAACCACAGCCATCAGCTGGCCTTAATGTTGACTTTGAGTCTGTGTTTGGAAACAAATCTTCTAGTGTTGTCCTAGATTCTGGTGGTAAGGCACTTACTAAAATAGATGACATGTTCTTTAACTTTTTTTTATTCTTGAGATATAAATCTCTTAATCTGTATTTACTTACACTGCTGTGACAGTGTTCCAGCTGAAGAAAAGAAAGCTGACTTTAAAAGGTCAATAGCAGCATTCTTCATCCAGTTTTTCTTTATTAATCAAATAATTTTTCCTTACATACTATTTCTATGTGGACCCTGCTGAAAAGTTTACATTGATTTCTTTCGCTTAAATATTTTGTGCATTAAAATTTCATACAGTGAACAGCATTCATTTTTACATGCTGTCAACTGAAATTAAGTCTGTATTTGTAGAGTGTGGCTGGAAAAGGTAAAGTTGCATCTTAATTTTATATATCCGTGCAACACATTCTTGGCACTTCTTTGCCTACATGTTACTCCTTTAATATTAAGATTATTTCAGAAACTGATAAATTATCAAAACATACACAGCTAATTTGGATTGTAGTTGTAGTTAGTACTCATTCTGCTCTTTTGAGCATCTGGAAAGTAAATATTTTCTGGGCTTTTGACATTGGACTCTTGACATTGGATTCTTTTGGGGCAAACCAGTGGTCCGCTAAAAGCAAATACATAAGTGTTTTTATAAGATTGAAATATTTTAGGTATTTATTCTGTATTTTGTTTTACGTTTTGATTGCTTTGCAGTCATTGTGAATCCATTCCATGTCAAATTGATGTCACGTAGGTTAAACTAGTAATGTGAAATCTCCCTTCTGTAGTAAATAGCTCCTTTATTAAGAAGCATAAGAAGTTTTATCCTTCTTGTATAGTGTAGCATCACTAGTTTAAACTTTGTATTTTAGCCATTGTGTTGAACTTGCTGTCTTTAATTGAATGTCATGACATTCACGGGAGGCCTGTGATTCAAATCACTTCTTTTATGTTTATCATTCCAAGGGTTTGATGAACTAGGTGGTCTCCTAAAACCAACAGTGGCCTCTCAAAACCAGAGTCTTCCAGTTGCCAAAGTACCACCTAACAAATTAGTGTCAGATGATCTGGATTCATCTTTAGCCAATCTTGTAGGCAGTAAGTATTCAACCACTAACATACACTTATTTCATTCTTCTAAATGAATAGAATTTCAATAGTATCTTCTTCTACTTTGTGACAGATTTGGGCATTGGAAATGGAACTACTAAAAAGTGAGTATGCTTAGTCAAAAGTGGAGCATTTTGATTTTTCTTGATAGTAAAATTTTATGAAAGTGCAGGTTCAAACCTGTGCATAACAACATAATGTTAACCTTCAGAGCACATTTGGGATTGTACTTTGTTTCTCATACAAGGTATAGTGAATTGTTGAGAGCTGTTGGAAGGTGGCTGTAGACTGAGTGGTAGTGACAGTGAAAACAGCAGGCAAGGTGTCCTGTCACTGATTCCTTTCAGGCTTGTATATGTTTAGGAAAAGAGTTCATCAAAATGCTTCTTTGTAGTTGTAGGTAAACTTAGCACACCTTACAAATGAAATACTTTGTGTGATCTGAGTGTGTGCAGAGCTATATTAAAGATTGTGAAACTACAATCTCTGACCTGTGGTTGATCTTCAGACAAGTGAATTTTGAAGCAGGGCGTATTCTAGAATAGTGAACATCTGCTCTAGCAGCAAAGTTAAGAGTGTGATTAGCAAATTTCAGGCTTATCGGGACCATCTGTGCCAACTCTGAAATCATTCAGAAATCTAGTATGCAGTTGCTCCTAACTAAACTATCTTGACCCAAGGAAAGTCAACTAGACTACCTTAGCTGTACTGGGGAACTTGACTGAGATTAGATAAAGCTGAGGTGGCTCATGTTGAACATATTACTTTACTCTTCCTAGCCAAAACAAGCTCTCATGACACCTTTTATCAACTCCTTTGCTAAATGAGCTGCTTCACTAACAAAAGAAACTGCATTTCCAAGAGGAAACAGTGTTTACCTGAGGGAGTTTTGTAAGAAAAATCCGATGTTTTCTAACAATTCTTAAAAAAATTTATTTGAAGTGATGTAAACTGGACTCAGCCAGGTGAAAAGAAACTAACAGGTGGTTCCAACTGGCAACCCAAGATTGCACCTACAACTGCGTGGAATGCTCCAACGTTGGTAAGCAAATACTCATTTTAAAATAGTGAGTTCCCTGCAACTTAGATATGCAGGCTGATGTATAACAGAGAAATTTGAAAGTAATCTATAGTTGCAGTAAAAGGGTAGTAGAAGATTGAAGAAGTGGTCAGTTTGAGATGTGTACTGATTGGATTTGTTTTTCTTAGCTGTGCAGTTCTAGTGAATAGTTGGTGATGTGACATGTGCAGGTTTAGCTTAAACTTCAGTAGTGTTTGACCAGCCTCTCTTATGGCAAGATAGCAGCCTTTGTGTTTCATTCAACTGACATAAAACTGAATTCTAGTGGGGGGGGGCAGGGCACTTTGCAGTCTAGAAAAGTAAAAGTGTGAAAAGTATGTTCTTCAGGTGCACTGATATGTCCAGTATGTATAACATTACATCTCAGCCTGCTCGGGGGGTGAGGATGGGCTGAGAGATTAATCCTCTTGATACTTGTAGAGGTGTCTGTGCAATAACGTGGGCTATAGCTTTCATAATGTACGTAACTACTGCTTTCCTGCCCCTGCCCCAATGTGTGCAACTGTTTTTAATGCATGTCAGTTTTGGTGATCAACTTCATAGCATCTATTGTGGCAGGCAGTATTAGCAACGATTTGGGGGTAGCATGTAGAGCGAGGGCTCTTAATTAAATGTCAAAAAAAAAAAAAAGTTAAGAGTTTACATGAGTAGTTTTCACAATGCTAACAGAACATCTTTGCATGTGAATCCTACTCACCCTTTCACCAATGACCTGGAGAACTGTATGTGGACAGAACAGGTAACAAATCGCCCCAGATTTATTGCATCTGACTGTAATTGACTGGGGGAGGTTGAATCCACAGTGTAATAATGCAGCGTTGTGGATTTGGAAAGAGAGAGCTTGTCTTTCTGGATCTACCACCTCTTCCCTACTGGGTGTCCCTTATCAACTCACTACAATTGTGTAGGGAGAAACGTTTGCGGACCTTACTGGAGGGTGCATAGATGTTGAAGAAACCGTAACGCCTCACCTGCTTTAGGGACTGGTGGTTTGAGTTTACTTGTGTGCTTGAATCTGTTCAATAACTCATGTCTTGTTTATACATCTTCTTGTGATAAGTCATTACATTTAACAGCTATTATTATTTAGAGATACTGTTGAGACACTTCTTTTCCTGTGAAACTGTTCTATTAACATAAAAATCTTGAAATGGAAATAATCTAGGGGGGAAAAAGTTTGTTTTCCTCTGCTGGTCTATTTATTGTGGAGTTGCTGCTGCTTGCTAAATCAATATGCCTTTGAAAATAAGGCTTTCTCGTCTTTGGAAAAAAGGCATATACCAAATAAATGGACTATGCAAAATAATTACGAACCTAATAACAATGACAGTATCACAGGTGTATGTTGTCTCAGTAAATGACTTGAATTACAAGAATGTGTTGGGGTAAACATTTAATGTATTTGTGAACTAAAATGCTATCTGTGTATATTCTGTTGTGTAAGTATTTGCTTCTAATCCAGTGTTATTGCATTATGTAATTGTTCTCCCTGGGAAATACAGAATGGCATGCATTTTCCACAATACGTAAGTGAAACAACCCACAGCCTTTTTGCAATCGACTGGCATGCTGATATTAACCACTGCTGTTGCAGAATCTCATAACCTTCTTGCTATTTACACATTTCTCATTTTAAAATCTTTGGTGTGCCAAAAATTGAGCTTTTCCTAGCATACACGAACTTCATAGGTGGTCTGCAGGCTCTTGACTCGAATGATGGCATGGGAAATACCAAGATTATTTTTCCTTGCTTTAAACTGTACCATTTGCTGCCAGAGAGCTGGGGTGTGTGTCTGTGCTGCCTTCAATGCACTTGGTGAATTTTGAATGAAGATAAAAATGTTTGTGTTTGAATAACTGCATGAAACCTCACGGGCTTCTGTTATACTTGGCACTTTATCCACGTTTATGGTAGATCTTGATTTTTTTAATTTTTTTTTAGTGGGGAGAGACCAATATGTCATTAATGCTCATATGAAAAAAAGAAAATCCATGCTGACAGTTTACATAGGGCAAGCAATAACCTGTGCTTGCTGTCTGAGGAATGCAGTCTTTCATTTCAAAGTATTTTTTTCTTTATGTCAACAGTGATATTGGTCTTTCCCTGTATTCTGTTTTTATTGCAGGGTAACTCTGTAACTAAAGGATGGTAGGTCCATACTTGAGCACTCAAAAATAAATTTAGTCAGCATGTTTATATGTGTGGATACACAAGCAAAACAAAAAAGTAGTAATTTTCAGGATAGCTTTGCCAGCTGTGTGAAATATATGGATAGTACACAGTCTAGGTAATTCTCGATCGGGGAAATCTGTTCTGATGGCGATTTGAAATGCCAGCGATACTGGCTACTATCTATGAAAAGGCAGCTGATACCTTAGAACTGAATTCAGAAGCAGCTTTGCTGATGTCCTATTCATGATATTACAATTTATCTGCTTTAATTAATCCAGTATTATTAATATTTTGTCACTTTCCTCTTTTTTCTGTATGAATAATCTCTGTGTACCAAGAAATGCATATGGTCTTTGTCTTGTCAGTAATGCCCACAGCGACAGCATGAAAATTAGACTGGTTTTTCTTAAAGGAGAGACTAACAGGAGGTGGAGTGGGCAGACAGCAAGTTGTCTGATTATTTATAAACACCAATTTGTAGTCTGGAAAAAAAAAACTTTTTTTGTCCTTGTAAGAGTTAATACTGATTTAGAAAGTGGATAATGAAACTGTAGAGCAAAAAATATGGTTAGGATATGAAGAACTGTCTTTAATATATTTTTCTTTCTAAGAGTTATCAGCTGTTTTTCTACCTATACGTTGCCAAGTTGTTTACAAAATGTAGCTTCACCCTAGGTTTTGTCTTGTTGACAGCAATCATATTGTAACTTCATAAAAGTTAACTTAGGTTAAGGGTAATATAAACATATCTGCAAAGTACTAAGAGGACTTTTAACCTGTTCAAATTCACTGTACTAAGTGGGTGAGTGAGAGGGAATGCAAGTTGGATATTCATGTTAGAGTCGAATTTATACTGAAGCATGATAGGAGAATCCCCATAGCGTGTACATCCTGGCTAAAGAGAAGAGAATTCCTGTAATGTCGGCAGAAGCAATGGTAATTTGGTCTTTCAGTCTTTAAAATTCTTTCTTAAGACTCCTTGTGCACCATTACTTCTGATATTGAAATATAAGTATATACTTCATGGGATTAAAAAAATGCTTCTGCTTCCTGAATTTTCTCTCTCAAACTTGTCTGTCTCATACTGTGTTCTTTAAACAGGATGCTGAGAGAATGGTAGCTTGCAGTTTAGTTTAGTCAGCCAGAATCCTAATAGGTGAAAAGCAAATATGTAACTGTAGATTTGCCTAGAAGATCGCCTAGAAACTTTAGCTTAGGTATTGTTTTCCATCTGAAATAATTTGGATACACTCTTAACACGAGACTGCAAACCCTATTTATTCTGTGCTATATTCATAGTAAGCTAAGTGCTGCAGTTGACCCTTAGAAAGCAATGCCTTACCAGTACGCAGCTGATCTCTTCTCCTCTCAGTTCACCACTGTTTTTCACACCAGGCACCACCTGTAATGGCATATCCTGCCACAACGCCAACAGGAATGATGGGCTACGGCATGGTGAGTGGAACTCCTGCAACGCTAAGAAGTCAGATGCTGTGTATCATTTGATTGCTTATAGTTTGGTAGCAGTCGTCTTTCTGAACTATTTTACTGAAGACTGAATTTCAGCTCCTATTCGTTTATTCTTCACCGAATCAAGTCCTGTTTTCTGAACAACTTCAGTGGTTTTTGTCTGAAATTGTCCACCCTTTCCTCCATAACTTAGTTTTTCATAAACTTTTTAAAATTTGTCTATTCTCGGTGGGCTTTATTGGCGTAGAAATAAGTGTATCATGAAAATAAGTGTATCATGTGAGTATAGATAGCTACATTGACAACAGGAATGTTTTATCGGTGAAGTGAAACCTTCCTTAAATACTTGCTCCCAACCTCAGCAAAAGGTATCTGTAATGATTAATGCCACAAAACTGCAAGTTTGTGACACTGCCGTGTGTTGTGGTGTTGGTTGAGAATCAAATCTCTTGGTGACACACCAGTCCCGGAAGACTTTCAACATAAACCTGACCTTGCTGCTTGTTGCTCTGAGAAGTTGTTCAAATTTTTCTTCTCATCTCAAATTTTAAAATATTTCTGTAATGATACACCTCAACTCTTTATTAGTATGGTTTTGATGTAGTACAGCTTTGCTGGGTGAATAAAAGGGGAGAGAACTTCCTTAAAACAGTTATTCTGCTAAATGGCTCACAGATTAGTAGAGTAAAAAAAGCTAAATGTTTCATCATGTAAGCAAATTAGATTAATGATTTGTAACTGCTATATGCTCCGTAAGTGAACTGCAAAAGTGGCCAGCTGTATTCTTGAGGGTGTTTTGGGAGAGTATCATGTTCCCCATTACCCATCCATGAACTCCTGTAGTATGTTCTTGTGCAAAGTCACAGTTAAACTACCGTTAGTGTTGATTCAAACTCGATCCGCACAATTTTGCGCTGATGGTACTGGAAGCATTTTCTTAGTTATTTTGACTCAGCAGCTGGGGACGGTAACATATTTAGTGTAAAGAAAGTAATCTTGCATGTTTTGTAAAGCAACTTCCGTTACGGGGTTTAAATGCCAATGTGAAACGGAAACTGGAATTAATAGGAGCCACAGCTCTGTTATCCTGAGTTGCTGTTACTTGTTCAAAAGCGTGCAACGTCTGAGCAGGTGGGTGAGATGGGCCATTACGGCATGACCCGCAGGCTTTATAACACATCCTGAAAACTCTCCTGGCTCATTCAGACTTTACTCAGGACGTTGCCTGCTAGGAATCTTTGAAATGTTGACCCATTTTACAACCCTCATTTTTCCTAAAAGCAGTAGTAGGTACCATAGTTCTGAGTGTGGCCATTTCTAAGCAGCAGTCTAGTAGCAGCCTTTTCCCTTGGTGAGGGCGTACTGGGACGGGCAGTTCCGTTAGTTCCTTTGCACTCCCTGGCTGCTGGTTCCTGTGCCTTCATTGTGCCAGAAGTTGTTTTTAACTTATTTTTTGTAGGGTGTTTTCATTAGGGTCAGTTTCTTGAATGGGTTCACCATGGGATTGTCCAAACAGCTGGTTGGCACGATAGGAGGAGTACCAGGATTAGTCAAGGAAAAGCTGCTTGGAGTGGGGATTGCTTTAGTGGGGCTGCTGCTGGGTATCAACGCAAGCCTGAGAGGAGTGCCAAAAGCAGCGCCAGGGTGGGCATCTATGTAAAGCAAATAAAACCTGGCTTCTAAGACCATTAATATATGTTAAACTCTGAATTTGGCTCGGCCAGAGTGTCAGTAACACTTTAGACTTTGATTGCATAATGACTTAACATTAGCTGTACGTACAGTTCTCAGTTTTCAATTTTTATTGAACTCTGTCAGCTCTGAGTTGTTATCTGTAAAACTGTTCTTGTGCTTTCAAAGGCGGACAGGGAAGTGTTGTCAGACCTCAGTTTTGGAAGCAAGAGGACCAGCACAAATGCTTGTGCTTAAACAAGTATTTTAGTGTTTCACATCTTTGCAGCAAGAGATTAAATGGGCTCAGTTGTTATTGAGAGTATTCCTTGAAAAGACTCTAATGTTCCTTTGTAGTAACCTTTATTTGCAAAATATTGCAGAAAGACCTTGTATGACTGCATTTATCAAATAAGACCAAGACTTTTCACCCATTTGCCATTTTCTTTTCTCTCCTTAAATACTTGCAATGTATTAATGCTATATGTGATTTGATGTTGTCTGGATTTTTTTAGCCATCACAGATGGGAGGCATACCAGTAATGACACAGCCAACTTTAATATACAGTCAGCCAGTCATGAGACCACCAAACCCTTTTGGCCCTGTACCGGGAGCACAGGTGTGTATATTCAAAATCATTGGTGCTAGGGACAAATCACAGCTGGGTCAGTTTCTTTAAAAGTATTTTAATATTTTCTTGTGTTGGACAAATGTGTTGCACAAGCACAGTAGTTCATGTAAGGATTGCTTCATAGTTTCTTATATCCAGGTTGGCAGCATCAATTTTGTTTTACAGAAGCAAAGAGGATAGCGTTTTAAGGCATTGTTTTTTTCTGGGAATGTGTCTGAGATGATCCTCAACACTTCAGTGAAAGGATAAGAACAGCTAATGTCTGTGCTGTTTGCTGAAGAGGGGCTTCTTTCCCAAAGTTTGCGTTCTCCGCTGCTTTATCTCCAAGCATGGCTTTGAGATTGCGCTATTACAGCTTTTTCCTAAGTGGATGTGGCACTGTTCTTTGCCCTGTTACACTTAACAGTATTGGATTATAAAGTCACCAAGGCTGGCAGTAGCTGTAAACTTTTTTTTAAGTGTAAGCTGCATGCTTATATGACAGCATTTTGCAGGGGACAAACAGGGTGTATGTAGCCTTTTGAGTCTCTGAATGTTATAGATGGGTTTGGAAAGAATATGGTGTCAAACCTGGTGAAACTTCAACCCAACACCTGGTTGTTAGCACTGACCACTCAGTGGGAGGTACATGGCACCTTCATCTAGTTTTAGCCATTGTATTCTCCAAAGGTCTTTGTACTCCTCCGTGTTTTTGCAGACGACAGTATTTACAGCATAGTGAATATAAGAGCTATACAAGTCTATCTGGCCTTTCCCTGTTAAGCAAGGTGTTATGTTAAATGGAGTGTTCCTTAAATTGCCTGCTTTTCTGCTTCTTGTGATATATTGTGTTCATTACCTAACGTGCTGGAATAAGTGTGCTGAAGGGTTACTCTGATGAACATTAAGACCTGACTTTATCAATACTGGAGTTAAATATAAACCTTTTATTGTTTGTTTTGCAGACTTTTGTCACTGGGAAGTTCCTATATGAACTCACTTTTTTTAACCCAATAGCTATCTGAAGATAAGGGGTTTTTTTGCAGTAAGAAAAACATTAAAAAACAATAGGAGGCAGGGGGGATGGACAACATTGAACACCTTCGTACTATTTTCAGAAAATATTGAGATCATTAAGACTGTGTTTGTAAACTGTAGTCAGAGGCAGAGCCAAGTTTAGTTGGCAGATTGGAACCCCAGTATTAACATCGTATTTTTACTTACTAGTCAAATGTGTCTTTGTCAGAGTTGGCATTGTACATCATGGCTCTATTAGAAACATGTAATATATTGGGACTGTGTCTTGATCTTACTATAAAGAGCTTTGTCTTTGCAGGTGACTTGTTTAAAAACATGCATGTGTAACTTCACTTAGGTATATGCTGGTGTATGTGTTTGGGTTTGGGACTAGAGTGTGGAGAGAAAAGAATTCAGCAGTAGGTTGGGAGGGAAAAGACCCTCAAACCTTTTCCAATGCTTGAATCTGATCCTTTAACAGGAGAGGCTATGCTGTGTGCTGCCAGTGGGCAGTATGTCCATTGTCTTCCTTAAAACAGAGCCCTGTGGATAGATCTTTTAAATTTTTGTTTTAAAGGCTTTATCTGAAAGAGGTGCTGTTAGATTTCTTTAGCTAGAAATGCAGTTTTCAGTTGACTTTCTCCTGGACTTCTGAGAGCTGCTTTGCACATTCACTGTCACTTAAGACAAGTGATATGGTATCTTGCACATGGGTTTTATGCTATTTCAAGGGGGAAAAAAATGTGTTTATGACACTTCTTAAATAGAGAACATGTTAAAGGATTCCCAAGGATAAAAGTTTTTTTCTGCAATTACCAAAACATCGATTTTGAAATGTCCTTTTAAAAAAAACAAAAAAACCAAACCTGTCTACCTGCCTAATTCAGTTATAAACAGGTAGGTAGGTCTGAATGGCTAGGCGAGCCTTTCTGCTTTGTTTGACATTGCAGGGCTTGGTCTAGGTTGAATCCCAGCTGGCTGTCATAACAGGAGAAAGCAGAATTAGTCACAAGTGAGGTGTGTAGAGCTGTATTTATTGTGCTTATCTGACATGTTTGGCTTCTGTGAGAATTAATTTGAAAGAAAACACACCCTTTGAACTGGCATTTGCTGTGTGACCAGGAACGATTTTCCCCCAAGACACACAGTCTGTGTTGCTTGCAGGTGTTGAATTTTCAGAAGTCTGGCATCAATAAAGCAACTTAAATGAAACAAAAGCTGCATGTGAGAGCTGCTTCCCTGTGTACGGCACAGATGGCATTTACTAACGTGTAGCCACGGAGGGGAATTACGGTATTATTGCACTAAATTTACGGTATGCTTAGTCTTGAGGCTCTTCTGAGAGCTGTCTGTTTAGGTTTAGTTAATACTCCTGTTGTGCCAGAAATAGAAAGAGGAAAATAAAGAAATAAAAATGTGTGTTCTCGGGTTGAGCTAACAAATCTTAAAGAATGAATAAGGGTTACCTGAAAGGCACACAATTCAAACTGCCTACAGCCCACATGGATCACTCTAAACACCATTACTGTGATACAGGTTTTGTCCATGATGTCATCACTGCGAAAAACTAAGTTGTTTTTCATGTTTACGTTTAAAGCACTAAATTCTATCACTTACCTCTAGTCTGCTGATAGAACTTGGTTGCTGTCTGCAGTTAAAGAAATTTGAAGGTACTTAAAAGCATAATGAGAGATATGAAGTTGTTGCTGAAAAATTATATTGCAAAGTTGTAGTGTGGTGGAAACTCCTCCTACTTCGCACACCAACTGGTAAAATAGGCATCCCAATGTTGTCCAGTTTCTTTATAATTTAAACTAGCGTTCCTAACCTGATACTCTTAAGGATTTGTCTTAAATATACTTTTCCTACCTCCAGGCATACCTATTTTGCTTCTGTTTCAAGTGTTGTGTTTACATGCATGCAACTTTATTTCTAATTGCTATCAAAAGCAAGGGTAGTTTGTTTTTTTTAAGGGCAAAATAATTTGAAACAATTGAGAATGAGACTAGAACAGTTGCTTCTTTTCTAGGTGTAGAAGATACGTGTAGTTTTAAAAGAAACTAGCGTGTGCTTTTGTTGGAAATTGCTTACCTTGCATTATGGTCAGTATTTCTTCCTTGAGAAAGAAAGTAATAGTTTTCATCACGATAAAATAGCAGGCTTTCCTCACTGCAAAATATTATATCATGCTACCCAAAACAGTGAGAGTGGATGGAGTTGTGTGATTAAATTTTGCCCAGTGGTGGGGAGAGTGTGTGTGTGTGTGTATGAGGAAGGGACAGGCTGAATCAATGGTCCAAACAAGGTTAAAGAGCAGCCAGGGTGATGGCAGATGTGATGCAGTACAGCAAATGCAGAATATTTCAGACAAGCCAGATCCGAATGATGCACGGTTAACTGGAATATAACTACCCATTGTAAGACCTGAGTGTTGTAATGCACAACAGCAGTGCTTGAATGTTCACCACCACCAAAAAAGTTATCGTGTTGGCTAATACAAAATGGTACAGTACTGACAAATCAGTGGTATGCCTTTTAAGTGTTACGTATTCTGGTCTGATTACCCCAAAAATGACATAGCCTTAGGAGGGGAAGCAGCTGGGTAGCGAAAATTTTACGATTTAAAATAGAATAAAGAAATTACTCAGCCTACTGCTAGCATCTGTGTGAATTGTAACAGTGCAGTTGTTAACGTCACTGAATTGTACAGAAAAAGTAGTAGGAGTGATCACCTGGTGATGGTAAAGAATAGGTAAATGTGCAAATGAGTAAGTTGGTTTTGTGGGGGTTTTTTTGATTGTGGTTTAGTTTTGATTTTTGGCTTGGTTTTCTTTTTTTGAAACTGGAAGAACAGGGTATGAAGTTCAGGACAGACTTATGCCAGAAAGTAGACTTTACAGGTGTTCCTTTTGGCATATTAATCCTAAAATACATGCTAAACCAGCTTGACAGACTTGTTTAATGAGAAATCAGTATTAAGCTAAGGATGGGAATCAGCACAGCACTCGCTTATGGATGGGTTCTTCTGTGTTACGGTGACTCTGGGGAGTTTTTGTCTTTGTTGGAAGCAGTAAGAAGTGACAACTGCTGTTGGAGGTGAGACTGAGCTTTGGGTCTGATCCAGCACAGTACGCTGCATTTCAGATCACGCAAGCACTGGGCAGTAAGGAGGCTAAATCCACAGTTCTAGACATAATTAGCACTAGAGAAACTGATGGCCAGCGCTGTTGTTTTAAATGCTTCTCCTTAGAAACTGCTAAGGTAGGTTCTGGTTTTCAGGTATATTTATAAGCAGTATTCTGGGTAGATGCCATGTAGGAAACTGCCGAACTGTACTTTCCACATTTATTTTTAGGCCTCCTTTTTAATAATTACAGGAATCTCATTAAAATACATATTTACTGTAAGGTACTGTGTCTTGTCTGAATTTGGCTCGGGCATCTAAGAAGCAGCAGCATCAAGTTTTTTTCCCAGTATTTAACCTGAACAGGCTTTCTGAAATTTCGCCTCTGTTTCTGATTACACGCTGATGTTGCACAAATGACAGAGCTCTAAACCTACCAGTCTTCCACACTGCTTTCAAACTGGGACATTACTTTGGACTTGATATCAGTTGGAGATTTGCCAACTCAATTTCACAGGACTTTTAATATGTGACTTCAAGCCATTTGACCATGAAGAGGAAGAATGTCTCATGAAATCAAGTCGCAGCAGGCGTGCCTTGCTGAAGTTATGACTGTTGGACTTTGTCATGAGTCTGGCTCAAATCCTGGAGAGCGGTGGGGTGTGTTGAGCTACGGCTTTCCAAAGGGAAGAACCGAGTTTTAAAGGGGAACTTCTGACATCCTGAAACTGCTTCTCAAGCACTTCCCATTCTGTCTCATGACTCTCCCATAATCTGTTTATGGGGACTGGATTCGAGTGCCCCATTGGGGGTGGGGTTTGGGGAGGGAGATAAAGATTCCAACCCAGACAGAGGGGACTGATCCTGAAAGAACTCCTTCTCCTCATGTAGTTTCTGAGATAGACATTAATGTGAAAAACTTAAATTTGCAATGGCAATATTTACACTCTGGACACTTCTGCAAGCAGTTCCCATAAGCATGTTCCCTGTCATGCATGGGTTGGCAGGCATTTGGTATTTCCAAAGGAAATACGTCTTCATACATTTTTTTGCAATGGATATGAAGTGCAAGTATGCAGTGGCGATTAGTGACTCAATTACGAGTAAATTGTTAAAAGTGATGGAACCTGAAATGGAGAAAGCATATTTTTGCAGTTACAAGTAAAAGTCAGCAAGTTCTATGAGGAGGGAAGGCAAATAGAATTTAATAAAGCACCATTTATAACTGGGAAGGCACTAACAAAGAAGGAAAACCGCTAAAAAAAAAATAAAAAAAATCAACCAACAGCAGATAATCCTGCAATTACAGCCTGCAGATTATTGGTCCCTTCCAGCAGCAGCAGCTGGAATGCCAATATTAGCTACTTGTAAATTATGTGCTTTATATGGCTGGATTTGTCGTGTGGTGCTTTAAATACATGGCAATAGGACATGATTTTTGTTAGTATAGATAGTATAGACTACTGGTCTCAGTCTTCAGTTCTCACCTAAAATGGCAGCAGTTAACAAACTCTCATCTATTGTATTTTTTTTCTAGCCCCAGAATGTATCCCATGTTCTCCTTTTAGGCCCCAATGTGACAATTACCTGTTGTCTGCTCTCCAGCTTCATTTTATACACATGCTATTTTGGGAGGAAAAGATGCTGAGAGCTGTTTCTTCTGGAGAAGGCACCTGGCAAGCTGCCATGCTCTGGCCAGACCCCCAGTCCCGTCTCTCCCTGCCAGTATGTAGTTTTGCCAGTAAAGCGGGGAGAGTGCTAACCTGTTTCACGGGAGTGTCAGGCTTCATGTTTTTTATCATCTTTTGAAGAGAGCCGCTGTGAAAGTGTGAGGTTATCTGCTTACTTGGCAAATGCCAATTGAAGTTTCCTTTCTGGAGGGTCATGTCCAGCTTGTTTCTGCATTACTCCAACCATTGAAGAGGCTTTCCGTTTTCCATATGACCAAACACCTTATTTTAATAGTTGATTTCTGCCAAGTTTGCCTCTTAACCTCCCCTTGTCCTTTCATTACACGTTCAGCTTTCATATTCTGTCATTCTGAGACCTTTTTTTCTTTTTCTTTCCCTTTCTCTGTCGTCTTTCCTACTAGCTGTCTGCAGCATCCAGCCCTTCCAGTCAGAGTCCTCACAGAGCCTCAGGAAAGGATCCCTTTGCAGAGCTCTCTCTCCAGGATTTCTTGTAGAACAACTTAGGTATTGTCCATTATTCTGGGGAGATGCTGGTTTTTGTGATATAGAACAAAATTAAAGTTCTAATTCAAGTTTTATTAACATGACTAGAACTGTTTCTGAAGAAAATAAAAACAAGTCATGTTGAGTTGGAAGCACTGTGGAAGTGACTTGGAAACTCGGTATACTTAACTGCAGCGGTTTAAAGACCCGATCAAGCCCATTCGAAATAAAAGTTTGATAGTTCCCTTCTGAACCGCAAGAGCCAGCACACGTGGTACTTGCTGCAGTTAGGGAGAAGGAACTGGTACTACCTGGTATTTACCATTTCATCAGGAAAATGTTCAGGGTTCCTGGTTAGCAGCAAACACCTGACTGCTGGTGCACTTCACCAGATTGCTTGCCCAAAGAGTTCACTTTATGCAGAAGGAGGTACTCGTTTCATGTGTGCGAGGGTTAAATTTTGGTACAGATGTGCAGTGGAATTCTGTTCTTTTTCATCAATCAGGGGCAGGTGGGAATTGAATACTAAAATGAGTGAAAACATGAAAAAATTCAAGAACGCCTAGCGTAAAGAAAGAGTAGGCTTTATTGCACACAGCATCTGCTTTTCTATGTGCACTTCCTCTGGTTCAGCATGAAAGATGACCGTGAGTTTTCTTCATAATGATGTTGATCTGTGTTATGCTGCCACTGGTGACAATATTGCATGGATAAGTAGGGTCTTTTTATTGTTGGATAAGCCAGCTTAATGGAAAGAGATGTTCCAAAGGCTGGTGTAGTTGGAAAAACATCCTGATGAGTTTTGATTGTTTTCTGGCCCTGGTAAAATTTTTATTTCTGTTCAAAACTTCAGATCTTGGAGTAGTTTGGGCATTTGAAGAATGGAAACTTTTGGAGAAAGCACAGGTTTTTAGTGAAGTCCTTCTTCTGTTGGATGTTAACATGAGGGTTTTTAATCTTTCCAGATTCAGTTTATGTAACTGTGTTAGATGGAAGAGAAAGGAACGTTTCCAAAAAGATGTAAAACCCCCACTTCCAGGAAAAAATGAACTTCAGTCTCTCAAACTCTCCTCTTCCATTAAGTGATGCAGTGAAATGATGAAGACCAATGAAGGAACCTGGGACAACTCCATAAGAAAACATCAATATACAATACAAAGCCAAGAATTGCCATGAATTAAGACTAAGATCTACTTTTTGTCCTGGTGACTAACACGTCAACACTTTCAGCTTCTAATAATATCCATAATTGGTAACATATGAAGAGAAGCCTTTATTCTGGAAATTGAGATTGGTGTTTGGAAATGCTGTCTGGAATGGAGGTGTGTCCTTTACCGTAACTCGAAACAAGACTTTGGGCAGGGGAGGGTCAAATCCTAACTCTTAATTCTGCAGTTACCTTTTCTTCAGTCCTCACAAATGTAGGCACAGCAGTAATGGAAATTAACTTTTTTTAAAAATTATATATTCAGTTTGCAGTAGACATTCCTTATGTATTATTGTTTGTATTTATTTATGATTATCAATTTAACATTAATATTGTATCAAAAAACCTCCTTATAAAAATGAGTATGGATGTATACAGTATGTCTGATTTTTATCCACAAAGAATGAATCTGATTCAGAATGCTTTTCAGCTGTCATACAGAGCACTAAATATTTTAAAGGTCTGAATCTAATGAATTCTCAGTATATATGGGAATTAGGGAAGAGCTGTAAAATGCATTAATCCTTATAGTCAATTCTGTGCCTAGGATTTTGCAAGGGAACAGTTAACTGACTAGAAGAAGCACTACATTTTTAATTCAGCATTAGTGCATTGGGAAGGAACTTTATTGCTTTGTGCTTGGCATGTCATTATTTTTACATTTGACATTATAAGGCCTTTCCAAAATGAATGTGAGGAATTGCTTTCACTTTAAGACTTTCCTTCTTTTCTGTAAAAAAAACTGAGGTGTTGTGTGTTGGGTGGGGAAAGCCTTTTCATTTGGCTAGTGCCATGTTTATGATCCTGTACCTTTCAAAGTAAAAAAGGGGAAGTAGCTTCCTTACATATGTCTAGTGGGTATTTAGTTAACGAAGAATTAAAGTAGCACTGTTGATCGGTGCTCTGTGTAAATACATCATAACTTTTGGGTGGAGTGGGGCCTTCAGAAGGATAGTCAATGATATGAAAGCAATTCTGTACATGAATTAAGCATACTTGCTGCATTGTCTCTGCAGATTCTATTTTTGTTTAAAATATTAAAATGTACGTTAGCAAAAATGGGTGGATTTTCAAATAAAATGCAGCTTCCACAGAACTTTTGTTACGGTATGAAAGTCTGAGGTGCTTCTTTTCTTTTTGCTGCTTAAAATGTGCACTGATAATTGCTTTGTTTACTTAATAAAATACCAAATGTATTTCATACGTGCATATTGTATTACAGGAAGTGCAGCACTGAATCTGTGAATGACGTGATCTATACAACATCTTCCTGCTGGTGCTGTAGTAGACGGCCTTAGTTCCGCTATAATGATGGATTCCTTACTTAATGTGATATTTCATGATCTTCTAGTTTTTCAAAATATTCATGGCAATAAACTTGTACTGTTTATAACTGAGCAAGAAGCATAAATATGCCCCCTCCCCCGCAAGTTATTTAAGTATCTTCCCTAACCTTCCAGCAGAACATAATGCTGGAGAAGCTTTGAACAGTTTGCTGAGACCGTCATCTGCAATTAGACACTAGTTTTCATCACAGGGAGATTTGACCCAAGTGGAACTTTCTTCTTCTCAACTATCTGAGGCTTGTCCCAAAGGTTGTACATCATAAAATGATCAGTACAGATCAGTAGATTTAAAGTTTCTTTCTAAAAGCATGAATTAAAAAAACCCTTGAACCTGTTACTTGTATATAATGCTTGCTCATGCCCAGATCTGGGGAGTTTCATATACAGTTTGCTTAAATCTTTACCTTCCTACGACTGAGGCCTTCAGTGTGGGACTGTACCACCAGCAAACAACTTCCTTTTAGTTTTTCCTTGCACTCAGAATATCAAAAACACGAATTGCCTGAATTGGGGGTCAGCTGGAAAAAAGGTGCATGTTTGTGTCCTATTAGCTGAATTGGTAACTAGCCAGGGTACAGATTGTTCTGAAACACAGTCCAGAGCTAGTGTGACAGGTAAAGGTAGACCTTCCTCCTCCTCCTCCATCGCCCAGTGTGCTGGGTTATGATAAAAACAGACACCAACCTCATTGTCTTTTTAGGTCTGTGATGCTCTCTGAACAGTGGTTTCAATCTCTGTTTTGAGGGTATTGACTGAGGATAGAGCTGTTTGCTTAGTTTTTGCATCTTTTTGATCCCTTGGACCCCCTTTGTGTGGCTGCGGACTGGAGGTTGCAAATCATGCAGGTGTCAAAAATCCCCAAACAAACAAAACCACCTTTTTTGCAGGGATGACGAATTCATCTGTTACCCTTTGCTGCTCACTCATAGTTGCTCTGTGTTCTTTAACGCAGCTGCTGTGCAGGTTAAACTTTCTTGTTGGAGGCCTTGCTAATAAACCTTGCTTTTGCTTTACTCTTCAGAGACAAACTGGCTTGAGAATTTTCCTGAGGATTATTTTCCCATTTACTTTTTTCCTAATAAGCATGTTTGCTGGAATAACTCAGTTGTAGCTTAATTTTAAAAGCATAGCTGATAGATGTGTTTCCTTTCAATTACTGGCCATTTTCAATAATGGGTGGGGTTATGAAAACCTGGTTCTCTTCAAAATTAAGTTCAAAGGCTATTTATTTAATCTAGAAGAGCAAACTCTGTCTAGGAAAGCTGCCTGCTCTTAGCAAGCAGTGGAGGCTGTAGTGCTTTGTTAGAGGGACGTGGTTCCTTTTAGAGCTTTGTGAAGGAAACCAGTGTGTCAGAATCATCACCATATTTTTGAATTTTTTTTTTATTCAGAAAATTATGTAATTAAAACAACTGGATTTACCTCTGGAGACAATTACTATTGCCAGAACAAGAACCTGAACAGCTAGTAACTTCAGGTGTTTTCTAAAAGCCCAAATGTAGAATCTTCATCTGAAGGCAAATCTAAATTCTTTTGTGGCTTCTGTTCTTTGTTTCAAAGTCACAAACTGAATTGTTCTGTGCAGTAAATTGACACTGACAGTACCTCAGGAGATGTTTAAAAACTGTCTTTGCATGACTTTACGTGACATCAGATGGTCCATTCAACCAGCTACTGGTATAAGTCACAGACTCTCCCAGCTGCCAAACAGCGCTTCAGCAAGAAGGGACAGGGTGAAACCCTGCATCTTTTATTAGACAAAAAGTGTCTGTTTTCAGAGCCTGGTATAAATTTTGTAGTGATATAAATGAATTGCAGCTTGAAAGCCATGACATAATTGAGATAAAGATTGTGGCAGAAGAATGAGAATTAGGTGCCAAAAACACTGGGAAAGATAGGAGATGCTGATGGGAGCAGAAGATTGACAAGGGTCAATGTGAGGGTTACTGAAGAAATGTGCTGAATACAGAAGAAAAAGCAATGTTAATTGGAGCATATATGTAAACTAAATAAGAGCTTTCTCCTTAGCCTACTGGCAGTGTTTTGACTTGACCTTTGCAGCTCGCTCACACTGCAGCAGAGAGAGCAGAAACAGTCTTGACGTATTTTGCTGAATTTGCCCAACAATCTGTGAGTTACTGAAGTTCTTCACGTTCAAACTGGAGAACGAAGGGACTTAGCCAATCAGTACCTACTAGTCCTGACTAGATCAGGAGAATGAGTGGGGAGGAAAGAACCCTGAGCAGGTTCCTCTGAAGGTGTAACATTGCTGCCACACACCTGGCACCCTTCTGTATCTGAAGGCTGAGTAAATACTATATCCATTTCACTAGTGGGAGGTGACTTGCCCAAGATAACACATCAGTCTACAAGTTGAGTAAAACACATTTCTTATTTCTTTTGTTGCTTCTCTGCTGATGAAATTTCCTGAGGCAAAGATCAAAAGGCCTTGGAACAACCAGCCAATGTCCTTAAAAGTTCTGTTGTGTGAGCTGGTAATGGTACTGAAAATGTGTTGGATGCAAGCATGTTGCTCTGGCTATCCAGCAGCTGTGGTATACGAGGAGAGCTGGGGGCTGGGGTTTGTTTTCATAGCATGGATCTCTGCTTCATTCGTGGTGGTAACTAACTGCTGAACTTCCCCATGCCAGCTACAGCAACTGCCCAAGTATTGTTTTTCTAGAAAAGCATTATTTGATACAGTTTTAGCCTCTTGCTGCACTTCAATCACTGAAAGTGAGGAAAAGATCGAGCACTGTGTCAAATCCATGGAAAGATTTTTCCATGGCTCAGTGGAGATGTTCTATGGGCCACATACAGGAACAGTAGTTGGCATGTTTTTACCATGTCATATCCTAAAACAACGTAGTGTTTGTGGTAGTCTGCAGAACATGAGCTCTGAAGTGTAGTATTACAAAGAAACATTCTTACTTTTAGAGTGGGCTCAAAGTCCAAGGGAAAGTCTTTTTCAGAGGAATATCCAGCTGCAAAACATCGGTGGCTTAAGACACTAATACCATTAGATTCTCTGTTCCTTGCTTGTCACTATAGTGTAACTTTTCAGTCCATTAGCTTCTGCCTTGACCTTATTCTGGCAAACTCCTTTTCGCCCACAGAAGCAGAGCATTTAATAACTCCTCTGTCAGAAAGCAGCCAAACAAGAACAAATGCTGCAGAACAAGTCTCCTACCCTCATTTCCCAAAACATACAGGTCTGAGCCTGTGGAAAGATTGCCTTGTTATATAACCTAGCTGCATCGGAGGCTGCACACCTCTCAAAAACCAGACCAAAAGTTAAGTAAAAAGTAACCTACATTCCCCACAGCTCAGGCTGGGGAGTGATCATACTTGCACTGCTGGACTATAAAGCAATATAATCCAGTTGCTTGACTCTATAGGGAAATTGAGAGAGGGTTCAAACCAGCAGTGTGCTGAGGTAGGCAGCTCCTTTAATCACTTGAGTGGATAGGGGCTAGCAGTACACCCCGCTGCATTGTGCTTTTCAGGCATTTGATGGATTGATGTTTCTCAGTTCCAGCTTATGGACTTCAGTTCTATTAAAATGGCTTTTATTACCACACACTTAGATGCAACTTGGATGATGCTCATATTTCTTTAACTTTGAATTTCCAGTGAACACTTGTAAGGTTTTTTGTTTTTTTTTTTTCCTGTTGAAACTGCAAGTTTCTTGCAGTTGTGTGCCAGTTCAATACATAACTCCAGCTCAACCAAGGCTACACTTGGATTATAGTTGTGGGGATGCATGGACACTTTCCTGTATCTTGTAGCCTAACTAGTGCCCTATAGTTGTCTTGCAGAACAGAAACACAGTAAAGAAAAGGTATTTCATAATGCTGGGAATTTAAAGGTGGCTCCTGTAAGTTTTGTCCTAACTGGAGTAGTGAACCCTGACTCCCATTATTTAAGTAGGAGTTGGAAGCATTGGCTGTACTGCCAGAAAGTGGACTGATCAGCCCTCTGTTTTACAACGTTGCTCATTTCTGAGAGGTTTTGCCAGTAACAAAATTATCAAATCCAGATGCCTCATTTGCTGAAGACCTAGCTTTCGCCATGTAAAAGCTTCACACTGGCCTTAATGCTAATCCTATAGAAATCAAGGGGATTTGGGACACTTCACTAAATATGTTTTGCTACAGGCTGTTGCTTCTGGCTTGTGCAGGCTGCCTGTGGCTTGTACCCTAATTAGCATGTTTCAGATTTCTTTTTAACTCCCTCTCACCCACACAGGCATTTATGGTAAAAGGCTAGAGTGACTTGAAGAGGCGAAGTTTGTTTTTTCCAAGGTACAAGTTTATGTTGTTCTGCCGTATGTCCTACACATGGTGGTATGCATTATGGGCATAAGCAGAGAGAAGCCTAGAGCTGGGCCTTACATTTACACCACGAGGAAATGTAAATGCCCTTTGGGGAGTGGTGGAAAGGAGAGGCCTTTCTTTAACTGAAAAGTTGTTCAGCATAAGCCACATTCTAATTCTGCAACTAAATGAAAAGCTAAACTAATCACTGTGCAGAACTAATCTCTCTTTCAAGTAAGCCATTTCATGGGGCTTGCACTTCACTCAAAGAAAGCCAGTGTAGCCGAGGGGAGGCTTTTGTTGTGCTGAAAACGTTACCACCTCACAAGTACGGACCCCCCTTCCCTCGACATTCGAGGACTAGAAGTCACCTCACTCTTTGTGGTAACTCAGTTGGGTTACAGCAGGGACACATCCAAACTCATTTAATTGTTTACTACATGGCAATGCAAGTGAGACTCAGTCTGAGATTAAGGCTCCTATCTTTACATGTCTGCTTGTGAGCCCAGTTTCTGAGGAGCTGTAGTCAGTGGAGCCCAGAGAACAAACAGTTCAACTCACCTGCAACTCAAGGAGACAGCTTCCGGGCAGGAATATCTGAGCTCGCTTGAAAAATGAAAAATGTTTGCACTGAAGTATGGGATAGGATGAGACACTGCACAGATACGGGTTGTTTAAAATGTTTAATCTTTTTAAAAAGCTTTATTCCAAACAGCTGATTAACCCATCAAGGGTTTAAATCAGATTATTCAATGCTTTTACAAGTTTCTAAATAGGAAATGCATAGGTCAGAAGCCTACTTGCTTCTGACCTTAAATATATTTAAGTAGGTGTTTTACGGAGACAAATAAAATGCATTCAAACATTCAATTTCTAGCAATAGTTGGATTATGCTTGGATAAATTAGATTCTGCTTTAGCAGAATATTAAGTATTTTTTAACAGGTCTACATTTTATTGCAGCCTGCATTTACCCATTCAGTGTCTGATCAAGAGGGAATTCCACATTTGACAGACTGCAAGTGGGTACCACAAAAACTAAATATTAACTCATATACCCTTTATTAGATATATGTGCAGCTAATTGGATTGGGGAGTCCAAAAAGTGCACAAGAGTTCTCACAGTGGTAAGTAAAGCAACCTTTCAATTAGCCATCTGCACACAGACATACTTCTCACTAAACTGACATGTGTAAACCATGATTAGGGCACTCAAAAATAGTTTCCACAAAGCCCAGTGCCACACACTCCTTGAATAACAAAGCAGATATTTAATGAGCTAAGAATGTTATATTTCTATGTTAACAGCAGAGTTGGTCTATTTTTAACCAACCTTTTCTTTACATAAGGCCTTGATCATCTGAGCCGTGATGTGCCCCTCTGATTTACCAATAACACCATCTTCTTTGTGGCTCCTGCTTGGCATTCCTTCTGGTTCTTCATGAATAGGCATCGCTCTTCCAACCACACACATCAGCTTTGTCTCCAGAGGACCCAGTTTTAAGTATTCCTTGAGAAGAAAGAATATTTTTATTCTGCAATTACATCAAGAAGCAGCCATTCTTAAAAAAAGACCAGCAACTTTCCTTTTAAAAGCAACTGTAAAGATGCTGCCCTGGGGTTGCTATGTTTGGTAATGTCAGTGTTAATGGGCTTGGTTTACAAGCTAGCTCATCTTAGGAGGCTGCAGCCCTGGTGCCCTCTTCTTTTCCTGTGTGTTTTTACCAGTAACACTTTCTCTGCAAACCAAATTCTGCTCCCAAATTCAGTTCTGTGAGAATTAAGCTAATCCAACAGCTCACTATTGCCAAAAGAGAGAGCTCCAAGTCCAGCCATGTGCTTCCACCACGCCTGTGCTGGCTCTGCCCTTCTCCAAGCCTCTGAGTCAATTTGGTTGACTAACCCAACAGAAAACTAATTCAGGAAGAGAAAAAAAGGCAAGCTTTTCTGCTGGGTTAGTGAGTGAATCAGCTACAGAAAAGGCCGATGTGCACTACAGGTTCCCTAAGGGCAGAAACAGGACCATACAGCCAAAGCCAGGGAGAGGGAAGAAGAAATCCTACAGTGCAAGCTCTTGAATCACCTCTATTTAATAACTGCTTTCATAACAGTTGCCAATGCAATGTTCCCAATTATACCTTCATTGTTACAAAGTACAAGAACGTCAGCAGCACCTATGGCCCTCAGTGGGGTGGGCTCTGCAGTGCTAACAGCAGGAAGAAAGAACTGAAGCTAGTATTCCTCTCCCAGGGCAACAACTGCAAGGAAACAAACACCCGGACAGATTTTTTTTTTGTTAAATGTTCAGCTTTTCTCTGTAATGACTCTTCAGGACAGAGCCACTCCTTAACTTAGTTTGATCAAGGCAACAGGATGATTTCTCTGAACACAAGTTGCAGGGTATTAATCAAACTAATGCCAAATTTCTAGAAAAAGACTTCTTGTTGGGGCTTTGGGGGGATTTTAAGTTTTTTTAAAACTCATTATTGAGCAAGTTTGAATACAATATTCAAGAGTAAAGAAACCTTATGGAGAACTATCTTTACACAGCAAGCCCTGCAGTCTGCACCATGTGTACATCATCTTTAATTTGCAGTAGAAATTGATGATGTAGATTAATATATTTTCTGAGAGTAATTATTTAGAAATGTATTTAAGTTTTCCTAACTCTAAAGTGTAGTATCAAAGACACCCAGAAAATATCTTTTTGCAACCTAGGACCGAGGATCTCCTGAAGCAGGTGCCACCACCTCTTTCAAGAACCACACAAACTCTGCCTATTTACACATAACCTGTACCTTTTCATTTTCTCAAACCCTGTATTTTACACCCAGGAAGACACTCACCCTGGCTTGCCTTTGAAGGATTAAATGACTTGTTGATCCTTTAATGCTACTATGCAACATAAGTTCTAAAAGGACCAGCATGCAAGCAAACAAGAATCTGCAATACCACAGAAAACTGTCACCTGGTGACATTCAGAATTCTTTCTAGGGAGAATTTGACACTCAGATATGCTGATTCCTCAGACACCTTTCAATTGGTAAAACAATGTGTCTCGTGCTATCAGAGATGCCCTAAGACATCCAAAACATCTACGTGGGCTGACCTGTATGACCAAACCTATGGTCTTTTGGTCCAGCATCTGAAGGACAGGGAGTGTCCTCACCATCTCCAGATGCCTATGATTAAGCATCTGAATTGTACACTAGGTAAAAGACACTGGAGTTTTTTCTGCCATAACACCACTGGGAATAGCACGCTCCTGGCAGTAGTTCATGCTCCACACTGAAATATGTTTGTGTCAGTGAAAGACTCAATTACTTTAACTCATACCTGGAAATCTTTTTCATCTTCATACAACAAGCTATCAAGAGTTGGAGTGAAAGACTTTTTCTGCAGCTCCTCATCACTGTCTTGAGGCTTCTTATTCTCTGTTTTAGACTGAATCTTTGCAAAGGTCTTGTTTTTCTGACAGGGGACTGTGGCACTTCTGAGGCTTTCATCTCCATCTGCTTTCGCTTTTTAAAGAGATGAACAACGATGTGTATGTAAATGTTAAGCTTTATGAAGATCAGAATTAGTATTCAGTATGAGTATTGCCTGCAATCTTTAATGTGGCTTGGCTAGTGTCACGTAATGAACAGCTTGGTAAGATTTTTAATTGGCAATCTGAGCCAAATGTTGATTTTGCTCACTGATTTTTCTGTTTATTTCTGTTCACAATTTTTGATCAAGGTCAGGGACTGAAATTGACTGGAAGTTAGAAGTAATGAGTCTGTGGAACTGGACAGCGAAAAAAACTAACTTTTATCAGTTCAACTTAAATCCTATATGGCATGAATAGTTAAAAAAATAGGAAAGATAGCAAAACCAGGTAAAAACCTTTTCTATATCAATGTGTGTATATGTACATATATACAAGTTGCTGAAACACAGCTAGTCCACTTATAAGTCCCCTGAAGAGCTCACATTTGCAGTTGACTCCCAGGATGATAGACAATTCTGGACATGGACTGCCAAGTTACATTTTTGCCTGGGACAGTGACTTGACCCCAGCTTATTGGAACAAAACCTACTCCACCCAGTAACTATTGTAAAGGTCTAGCAAAGGTAATAGAGCTGAACTGTTCAAAGTAAACATATTTCTAATTCAGAAGTCTTAGTCAACATGTTTGCTGAAGCCTGATGGTTCCAGAAAGGCCTACCTATGGCTGGAACTGATCAGAACTTTCAACAGACTTGTTCACATATTCATAACTGTATGGCTTCAATATTTGGAACTTACCTCTTCAATTTAGTTGTGTCCTTTTTTTCCCCTCTTTCTTCTACTCACGCCAAGTGAGTACATAAAACTGATACTAAGGAATCCATACAAACCACCCTGAATGGATAAGCACCCTCATACAGTCCTAATGGTATATCCTTTTCCTGGGCACACCTACTAGAATAGATGGAGATTCAGCCCCAAATTCAGTACTGCTTACCAAGATTTTCAGTTCTGGCTGAGCTCCATGTAGCTTCATCTGCTCTTGCTAGGGATTTATTTATAATTTAATTCTGGTGTATCTCTGTGAGCTGAATGACTGTAAAGTGCATGTACACTTCAAGTGAAAGCCACTTTAGAGTTCAAAAGTGTCCTCTCAGGGACAAGATATAATGAAGTTATGATGATATGAATCTGTAAAGATCTGATTAAGATATGAATCATATCTTCATAAAAGATGGCCAATCCTGTTAACCACATTCCAGACTAGCTCTATATGAGTAATTACATTCAACAATCTAAGCACCAATTTCAATTTTAAAACTGTATTACAGGTAAAGTGTGGGTTTTTCTTTGTAACACAAACTACAGGCTATCATTGCTGTAGTGCTGCAATTAAGTGGGAAATTAAGAGTTCACCATGTCAAACAGGCAGTTTGATGAAAAACTTAAGAAATAAAAAGTATGTAAATGATCAGTAACTTATCAGTTCTTATAAGCTGCTGGCATGTGCATTACCTGCATACTCTCTATACTCTACTTCTTTCATTTCATCCTTAGGAAATCCATCTTGCAAGCCAGCTGCCTGGGTAAGAAACAAATGCCTATGAAATTAAAAAGATAAAGTGAAACTCATATTAGAGGTCTGAATTTTCTCTCTAAATTGTCCTGTGCAATATTTTGGGGTGAGGGGGAGGGCACCCTTTCTGAAAGCCATTTGCTGCTTAAACACAAATGCAGAATAGCGCAATGGTTTAAGAATGCAATGGAGGCAGCCAGGTAGCTTAGTGGCTAATAAGCTGCTCTTTTTTTATTCTTAGTGCCTAAGTTCAACTATGTCCATGAGACTAAAAGAAAACAAATGTTATAGTCTCCAGTCAGTCCAAGATTCAAACCACAGCTGGCAGCTCTCACTTAAAAGCAGTCCAAAAGTTTGGAGAGGAGAGAAAAATGGTCAGTACTTAAGACTTGGAACTTTTTTATGCAATATGGCTGAAATCACTGAGCTAGGACTGGAAAATGAAGATGGATCATTCCCATTGTTACATTGTGCTTTTGATACCATTAGTGTTGACATTTTGCAGCTAAATTAATCTTTCTCTAGGGAACAAGTTAAATAATTTCCATATATAAAAGAAACTAATACTACAGACACCTCTACAGACAGACCTATCCCAAGGCCTCTTCCTTACTCAATACCAGGTCATCTGTTTCACTTGAGATTGCAAAACCCCATATATTTGCATATTAATCTTCACATCCTTAAACATTTTGCCAACAGAAGAAAAATCTATTACTCAGCACTTGGTCTGAGAAGCTGGGCCTGAGACAATTACAACAGAAAGAAACTATTTCCAAGCCCCAGTGGTATCCCCACTAAAAGTGACACTAGGTCTTACAAGATTATTAAAGAACCTAGTTTCTTCCCTGAATTTTGGTATTTAGGAGGTTACAATATCACTGCCATCCTTCAGAGATACAAGTCCCACATATACTCAGTGAAATCCTGCCTCCCCTCAACTAGGAAACTACCTTGGCTTTATTGTGGGAGAGACCAAATAGGTCTAGAGGCAGGAGAAGGCACTATCTTTGTAAAAAAAAAATTACATCATTTCTGAGTCTGTAAAGGCATCATTTTACCTGGGTACTCTCAGATTCTGAAGTTTGCCATCAATTAGTTTTGTCACTAAACCAATATTTTCTTCTTCTAGGAGCTGAATAGAGGCTTTCAAATCACTTACTTCCTTTTGGTACATCTTAACCTTTTGACAATTAAAAAAAAAAAAAAAGCAAGCATCATCTTAGAAAGACTATACTCATTTTGGAAACATTTCATAGTAACTATCTTAATAGCACATACCTAGAAGGAATGCAGCTGTTATCAGCAAGATTATGCACTAGGTGGAGAAACACTGACATTTTTTTTATTTCAGACAAAGGGAAGGCCGCTCTAGTTCTTTCGCACCTTTTTTAGAACCCTTTACTGGCACAACTCTGTCAATCACAGACACACGTTTGGACTATGCAGCCCTGATGGCAAAACCTTCTCATGTAGCCAAACGGGTCCTGTAGACAGAAGCTCTGGATTTTTCTTTTTTGCTATCACATCAGAGCTTTGAGAGAGAAAAACCTTCTTTGTAGAGTTAAATTCAGGCTCTTGTTCAGCAAGTGTTGCTTTTCTAATTCCTGCCTATACACAAAACCTTCTTACCCAGAATTAGTGAAGCTTTTAGTCCAAGTTAGCCACGACATTGGTTAAATGTCATGATTTTACTTTTTTTTAGACTGGTAATTGCCCCATATTACCATGAAGTTACATTAACCAAATGATACCAGTTATTCAGTTCACACAATTCCTCTCACTTTTCCTGAAGTACGAACAAGTTCTTACCCCTTCACTGGGAAGTGGAATATACTATGGGATGGATACCTTCCCAGAAATCTTAGCCATAGGCATATGTTTAAAAGCAGTATCTAGTGGTCTAAATGCATCTGTTCTCACCAGAGCCAAATTAACCCAGCTATAATCATCCAAATTTGCAGTTAAAAACTAGTTCCCATTTCTCCCAGGGATTAAAAAAAAGGTGAAAATGACAGGACATTAACCAGTAACAGGATGTGGCTTGGCACAGTGAGGTGATGCAGCTTTGTACCATCTTGGTGTGACACAGTAACCGTGGAAAAATGTGACTGAAGTCTCCAAACCTGTTCAAATTTGGAAGTAACTAGTTTAGGGCTGTTTTGGTAAGTCATTTTTCAGTTCAGTGGCCAAACTGAAAAAGTGATAAATTTTGAACTTGGAAAAAAATGAAATTTTTGGTTTATCTCCCCCCCCAAAAGTACCAGAAGAGTCTGTCAGCTACATATAAACATTAGCCTGAAAGAAAATATTTCCTCTGTAGAAGAAAAGCAGAGAGAATGAATGGGTGAATTCACAGGACTGGAGAAGTTAGTGATAATCATTTTGTTTTCCACAGTAATTCAAAGCACTAATTCATAACATAGGAAACTAATTCATAACATAGGAAATGTCTAGTTGAGAGGAAAGAAACCTAAATCCCTCAACTCCAAGGTAAGGGCCTGTCAGGACATAAGTGTACTCCAAAGCGGATCTCCCTTGTTGACACTGCCTTGTGCATGTAAAATTTGTAAGTGTTCAGTGAGACAGAGAGATGGGAAAGGAATTCATACTCATTCAGTGATAGGATGTATAGATTTGAGCTCCTGTTTGTTTATACAGATTAAAACATTAATTGTTTTATATTGACCCCCACCTCATTGCCTCAGAAGCTGTGGTTTGGACACCCTCCCTGGAAAGTTAAAGATGTAGGCTCAGAGCTCATTAAGGGGAAGAAGGAAAGCCATATCCCTGCATACTGGCAAGTATCTTAGACTAGTAGGTAAAACGGAGCAACCTCTGCCAGGTTTGTTAGTGTGGCACTGAAAAATAGTAAGTTCATTTATTAATTTCCCAAAAAGTTTTGCTCAGTTCTAAACTGTGAGGTTGTAAAGGTGGGGAAGGGTATTTCCTCCCTCCAATCTCTTCCTTAGATTTGATCGCAACAAAGAACCTGTATTGATTGGAACAAACACAATCAAACTTTCACCATGGAAAAATCAGTTTCCTAAATTTGGCTCACAAAAAGGTTTTTTCTTGACAAGAAAAGTTACAACTATCTAATATAAAGCTCTAAATTGCCATTAAAGGACAGTATAAAAGCTATCAAGTAATCAATTACAACTATATATGATTTTGATTTTCCTCTCTTCAGTGTACTAATCTCCAGGGTTTCTTTATTATCTCCCATTCAAAGCTGTCTCAAGCCCTTTCTCCAAAAATGTTTCAAACATCCGTATCCATTTTCTTTCAAATATGGCAGCACTAGAACTTTAATGCAATTCAAAACTACACTTTTCAGATACTTACATGGTTGAGCCTTTACACTGTATAGTATCCCAATCTCCATAGATGTAAATACTTAATTGTATGGAATGTTGTAGTCCTCCATATAACTGCTTAGGCCGGAAAAAGGGTCCTTCATTTGTGAAAGCAGACGTTGACCTTTTATCTTTATTCATCACATACACTGTTTGCTACTCAGGATTACAGATTAGTTACAGGAAAATTGCTCTCCTTTTCCTATGAAAATCTTCAGAGGCCCATCACTGGAAACAGTTATGACTGCAAGCCACGGTATTTCAAACCTGAACTACCATGATAAACTGTAAGCAAGTGATCCTCTTACCTCTTCTTTTAGCCATTCATTCTCTTCAATTTCTCTGCGACAGTTTTTGTCTAAGTATCTTACAGCATTCTGAGAAAACACAATTTAAGATCATCTCATCTTAAAGCAGGACTTTGACGGTGCTGCATACTATAAAGAACAACCTTCTGCTGTTTAGCAGGAAATAATTAAGAAATATCCACACAACAGACTGTAGAATCCCAAGGGATTACAAGGGGATTTAGTCCACAAGGCCAGCTGTTTCTTCTTCATCATCCTGCCTAGTGCAGTTTACATGTCAAACAATTTAGCAATATTTTATAATTTCACATATTAAAATAAGACATTTCCTTTTTGCCTATCAAGTTCTGCTATGTTCTCACTACTGCTCCAATCTTTCTGTTTTCAGAAAAATCAAACCTTTAGCTATTAAAAAACCCAAGCAAAATCACAAATGAGGCAGTACTTACTGATCTATGACAAGTGACTTAAACACGCAGAGGTCTATGCTAATGAGCCAAGGCTACAATTTAATTATTGATGTCAGTAAGTAGAAAGGAACAAGTGGGAGGGAAGATGCTCCTGCAGATCACCATAAACACAGTCTTTTGGATTATGTTCTCACATGACTGAAAATTCCAGCACTGAAGTCAGTGAATTTAAATACCTAATGGGCCCAACCAGTGATTTGTACTGAAGTATGCTTTGCATTTTGTGACTGTAAGAAGCTGTCACCATAAATACTTTGTAAATCGTTTGCAACACACAGCTGGCAGAGATAACAAAAAAAAAAAACCAAAAAACCTATGTATCAATAAGCCTAAAATTTACTGTAGACTGCACTATTTTGGCATTTTAAAAATGTTATAGTTTACAAGTACAAAACAACTTTCCTCCTCCCCTCAAATGATGCATATTTCCATGCAGACAATCTCTTAGTGTGTTATTGTTTTTTGAAGTCTATGCAAATGTCAAAATCAAGGTCACAGCAAAAGTGACATGTTCTTGAACAAGTCATATCAGTGCATGGTACCCTAGTTTCCCATACATAATTTGTAAAATGCCCTCACATCTACTCATTGTTAGTCTGATGTAAAAAAACAAAAGTACGTGTGTGTATAACAAAAACCAATGCAATGTACAGTAAGATTTACAGTTTATTTTACTTTCAATTTATTAGAAAAGATCCAAGTCTTAATTCAAGTTAAAATAATTATTAAAGCAGAGTACATAAGTTCTAACTACAATGCAGTTAGGACTTTTAAAAAAAAACAGAAGGAATACCTCGGGGGCCTGTTCCTTACTTAACTTCATGTGCTTCTCAACCAGTCTGTCATTTTCTTCTTTCATTGCTTTCAAAGCATTTGTATAATATTCTTCAAAACGAAAAAAGAACGTCAGAAATCATTATTTGACATCAATTTCTCCCGACAACAAATAGATAATTGGCATGTTGTTCCCAAACTGGAACTTATCAGCCAGCGTCACATGCATAGATGCTCCACAGAAAAGGATTCAAACATCCTTCTCCATAGAAATTGTCCTCATAAATCCAAAGGACAGTAGTGTTAACTAGAAAACTAGAAATCTGAAGTGGCTTACACATTTCTGTTGGCAACAACAACAGCTGAGCAATTCTCTGCTAAAATGTTGGTATCTTAACATTAAATTTGCCTCTATCAATAGCAGAGCTCCTGGAGTCATGCAAGAGATTTGCTTAGAAAACTTATTTTTTAGATATAGAAGCATATTGGATCATCTTATGCCCATAGTATTTTTTTCAGACAGTTATTATACAGAACCTAATAACTTTTCTGACTTACCTAAGCTTTCCAGGGGGTTCTAATTTGACAACGGGACAAAATGGAGAATGTGGCAATTGCATCAATGATTTGCTTTCATCATTACTTGTGGTCATTTTTTAAGAAGTTTGTCTTATGTCGAAAATAATTTGTTTGGCTTCAAGTTCTAGTCACTTGCTATTTAATTATTTCATCCTTCCCCTCAGTTGTTTTTGTGCCATTCTAAGTAGTCCACTGCCGCCTGGTATTTTCTCCTTTTGAAGGAATGAATTAGATTGTAGTAATTTTCTTTGAATGAAGGCACTTCATACTTGTTCCAGAGGTGTGAAATTCAGCCTAGCTCTGCACTCATGTTGCAGACAGCCTGTTGCTGATCTGGCTGTAAATGAGTGTCTGGTCATGGACCCACTGTGGAGTCAAAGGCAGTCAAATATGAAAGGTGCATTGGTTGTGCATTAGTTCTTAATTTAACACTGTGGAAGCTGGCCTGCCTTAATCAATCCACCATCTAGACTTGGTAGAATGAAATGGAAGTACTTACACACTGTAATTAATTCATCTTTTCATTCTTTCAGACACCTAAACAACCTGAGTTGTACTGGGAGAATGAAGAAAAGGAAGAACTGTTCGGACATATTTACTGTTTCTAAGGAGGCTATTTTCCCTAACTCTCTCACTGCAACACTTTTCCCCACACCTCATGTAAGTGTATGGCACTCTTTTGCTTCCTCTCCCCTCCAGCAATTTTGTTTAAAATGTCATCTCCAGACCACATGAACTACGCCAGCATCAAGCCCTTCAGTGGTACCTACAGAGACAAAAACCTCTCCACCTATGCTTATTCCCTAAGCCTGTTACACACTCGAGGAGTGAACAAGCTCAATTTGCTGCCGCATCACTCTGGAAGCTTGTTAGATTTTTTTTTTTTGGTAGGCTAGAAGACTGTACTCCCCAGCCACTTTATAAGTTTGATTTTAGGAAGCTGAGTAAAAGGATATGCTAGCATCCAGTACTGGCAGCATCATTTTGCAGTATGTTAATTAGGCAACTGCTATATGTACCTCTGTAACAGTCTTTCTATAAATACACTTCCGTTTGACTGCAAATTTTTAGCTCTGTACCCTGTGACATGCAGGAGGTGAAACTGAATGTTCCTACTGGCTCATTCTGGCATTCTATATAAAAGCCCATTCTCTTTTTCATTTCATATTTCAGTAGCTGTATAACAAAATTTTGAATTGATTAAGAACATGGAAAATGCATAATGAAAAATATCAATCTCTCCTGAATACAGAGATGGATATCTGACAAGCTATCTGGCAACGTAAAAAACACAGTTCAGATCTTAATCATGATAAAATATGTTTCAAGAGACAAAAAGATAGCTAGCTGGCTCTTATCCACGGTAGTTGATGCCTGGTAATGGTTGGCACAGAATATACAGAGACCCTTAGAGCAATGTCACTGCCTGTTACTACCAGCTGCTTGGCTGTGGTCATGCATACTGAGAGGGACATAAAGGAAGAAAACCAGGACATCCTTCTCCCATTAGGAGCATGGGTTATGTAACAGCAAAGTATTCAAATGATTTTAAAATAATGCAGTAGTAAAGAAATCTCTGTAAAGCACTCAGCACCAGAATACATAAGCTCTCAAATTAATTCCACTGTTGTGTCAGTTCCAGTTCCCAGTATTTATCTATGTCTGTACTGGCAATTTTGCAGTACCTCATACACGAGAGTATGCAACTAGGAAGCAAAGTTCACACCACTGGCTAAACAGCTCCCTCTAGTTCTGCATTTGAACCAGTATGCTCAGTTCAAAAGACTGTTCCAAGAATGAGCTCATACTACTTTCCTGTCAAAGAAGTTTTCAACATGCTTGTAGCATGATGAGAAGCAACAACAGCAGAGTCAACATTTTCAAGTATGACTGCTAACGGAGTCTTGTGTGTAGGTGACCTAAATATATAGAGATTTATTTTTAGAAAACCACTGTCCTTCACAGTAACATTTTTTTTAAAATGGGTTGCCTGTATTTTACAAGAAAGTAATCAGAAGACAAGCTTATCAGTTTCTCTAAGCGTTCATAATTTCTATAACTTTATCAATTCCTTTAATAAAGGGACTTTCACAGAGAGAGCAAGTTCTTCCATTTTATGGGATCATGCAGCCTAGTTTAGGTGCACCGTCTTGGAAAAGTTGATATAAATTACTTGATATCAAACAAAATTTATAATTTTAGTAGTTCCCATAGGTAATACAGAATGAGCTTGTAAGACTTGCATTACACTAGCTGTAAACTGACCTGTAGCCCTGTGAAGGTCATCTTTGACTTCCTTGATGTTTTTTTCCAGATTCATAATCTTGTTGGCCTGTGCTTTACTTCCTACATTTTTGTACTCCAACCAATAATCCCTCTCATCCCGCTTTACTGAAAGTCTTTTGTCAGTTTCTTCAATCTGGGAGTGCAGATCTATTAAAGTAAGAACATCAGAAAACAAATTAATTACCAATTTCTTGAACTGATAGTTCATAATTCTTACAACTTCATTGAATTCTTTAATAAAGGTGCTTTGACTAGGATCGGAGAAAGAAGGGTGATTCTTCTACACTACAATACGTTACAACATGGTGCCCCACATAGTGTCAAGGGCCACCACCATCATTGCTGAAAACAGCTTGATCTTATTCTGCCAAGGAGAGACAACACTTGAAAAGTTGTCAGGAAGTTGAAATGTTGTAACCAAAGACATGTGTCTCCCATGGAGAACCTCAGGGATGGTGGCCAGAACTTTCAACAATAAAACTGGTCATTTTTGCTGCCATCAGTAATTTTTTTTTTAATCTTCCAGTGGAGCCAGTGCATAGGGCTTTCATGAAGTTCAACTTAACAGAATATATGAAGCCTCTGTACTTGCACAGTAATACATATCACTTGGAAGGAACAAAACAGAGTCTTATGGAAAGAGACCCTGTATATTAAAGACCCACATCTACTGAATTTTAACTCATTTAACAGGTTTACTTAAAAGCCTTCCACAACCTCATACTAGGCTTAGCTTAATTTTGGGGAATAAAAGTATTATGCTTTTGATAGAACAAGGAAGTTTAATCTCTATTTAAAATGCAAAAAAAGTACTCAATCCCAACTGTGTAAACTGCAAACCACACTTCCATGAATCACAACATACCTTTCAGCAGTTGTTCTTTGTCCTTAGCATACTGCCATATTGCTTTCAGTGACTCTTCCACATCATCCCTAGTTACAACCTCCTTTTCATCTTGTTCTTTCTCCTCTTCTTCTATTTGTCTTAGTATGCGCCTGATGTGTGCCTGCTGTTCTTCCTTCAGAAGGTCATTCTATGAAAGAACAGAAGATAAGGCATGTATTAAAACATTTTCAAATTAGTTTTCGAAGTTACAAACTTAAGTAGTGAAGAAAAGTAAAATATGACCTAGTGCCAGGATGCACCACAAAAACACTAGTTAAACAGCTATTCTTCATATTTGAAAAGGCTGGAGTGGAAGGGAGAGTTCGCAAGTCTCAGAAGTTTCTCAGTAACTTCAAGACCATTACAAGGAAATGGGAGACAAATGACTGCTGTACTTGGTGCAGCACATGAATAGTCCTCCATTGCCTGGAAAGAAACTCCCTTGTGGGTCAATTTAATAACAATATTTATTTGTAGGAGTTCTTGACATCAACATTTTTCCTGACAATGTACCACCTTTATGTAGAAATGTTGTCAGACAATCAATTCACTTGCATATAACCACAGTAGAGAGTTTTGTCAGAGCTGGAATTAGTTATACCTACTGACTCCACAACTGTGATTACATCCCCTTGCCATGACCCTCTCAAGTGACACTCAAAATATCTGAAATTACTAATTGTATCTTTTTTGTGTGAAATTTTGTGTAATTTGCTCCCAAAGGATACCATAAAGGAGCAAATAACCCTACCAGCCAAACTGTAACAGAAACTATGCAGTAGAGAAAGTCTCAAACATTCCCTGCTTCTAGAAGGATTAACTCTAAACCACTCAGAAACATTAAGTGGGAAACAAAGAATGGAGTTCAAAGAACTGTCAAAACATGGGTAAATTAAACAAATAGCACTTCAAGTATGCCCTGAAGTACCTTGCACAGTCCAAAATATGAAGGAGTCCTTGAGTGACCATGAACTAGCAGCAAATTGGGGGAATAACCATAAGACTTGAGATGTCTGCAGAGAGAAGAGCCAAATGCCACTTCCACTGATAGTTAAGGCCACATACGAAACACAATCCAGGCTTCAAGACTGAAAGGAACACCAAGGAAAGCTAAACATGATCCAGTTCAAAAGGGTTTTGAGCAATTTGAATTCATTTCATTAGGTGACTATATATATCCACTTTCAAAGTTCACTGCTCTCAGTCATGAGATGCCATATTATGGTTCTTTATATATAGTTCTTTATATACAGTTCATATATACGGTTCTTTAAAGTGTCACTTAGGTGTGATCAGTAATTACATAACCTTGTTCTAAAAATAACCTAACGCAACTCTTAATCCACAAGAAGGTGAGTCTTCACCAAGCAGTGCTAAAAACTGCACCTAGACAATTGTGTGATGCTCTTTTTTCTTTGGTCAGTTTTCACTGTAACTAAGTTTGCAAGAATAACTAAACTCTCACAGAAACCTGTGCAATTCCATTACCTCAGAAGTGAATCGAAGGTGGTCAGCAAGTCTCAATACTTGGTTAGATCTGCTAATCTACTAACTACTACTAACAAAAATGAAGTTCATAACGTTTATTCTTTGTGCACTGAAATATTGAGGAATATTTGCAAGATTGTTTAAAAAGGCGTATCTGAATGTACTGCGGTAAAGTTACCTACTGAAAGGGGGCTTGCTGTCCTATGTTTGCTGCAGAGTGAGATTAAATACTTAGGCAGTTACTAAGGATCTCATGTGCACTGAAAAACACCTTCACTGAACTCACTTCACCTTACTGCTGTGTCCTATTCTGCAATGTTCTACTCCTGCAGCTCCTTTTTTTGCAGTTTTATTTAGGACATTTATGCTTTATGTCACATTTAATTCAGATAACACTTAAACTTTTAGCACATAAAGCGACTCACTAACTCTAGTTTCATTGACCGTAAGGAATTCACTGCAATGACTAGTTTTAGTGAAAGTACCTTTAGGATTAAAAGAATAAAATTGAATCTGTGAGTTAAAATATCACATATAAAATGTGTTGGGAGAAGGATGCATGGTCACTCACTCTTTCATTATATTCTTTGTTCTTTTTTTCCACTTTTTTCAGATCCAACAAAACCCGATCAATTGCTGCTTCTTTTGTCTCAATTCTGTGGAGAAAGAGTAAAGAAAGAGACATTCTTACAAAAACAGGAGAGGAATGCTATTTAACCTAGATTAGATGTAAATACTACTGAAATGTTTGTTTTCGTATCATATGCCTGACTGATTTTGGTAGATACCACTGTCCGCTTACTACACATAAAGAAATTATTTCCCTTATACATCTGGACCTTCGTTTTAGTTTGGATCTCATACTCCTACTGAGAAAAGAGACTCCCTGATTAAACTGTTCCTTTGTAACCACTAGAGAGGATTAAGCTGGTTTATTCTTTCTGGATGTGGTTTAGCTGACCTGTTGCAGAGGTCTCTTTTAGGACAAGATTATTTGTGCTCCAGAAATATTACTCACCACTCACTATAGAGGAAGCTTAGGCAACACACTCAGACATAGGTCAGATAAATCCCAAACTGGAAAATTAAATGGGATTCAATTCTTCTGAAAACGTGGTTTGTTGAGCTCCATTAACTGCATTTGTACACCAAGAACTCGTTAGCCTTTAAGAAGTGCTAAGGGAATCGGGACTGCAGCCCGAGTAGTATCCTCTAAGTACATTTACACATTTTTGTGAAAGAACTAGCTCACTGCTTTCACAATTTTCATAGACTACTTGTCATCCTCTTTGCCATAGCTGTAAAATCAGTATTTTTTTTCTGGTGTTCTCTCTTCAGGAATGAGAAACGTTGGATTGCAAATGCTGCCTATTTGCAAAATTCTCTGTAATCTTTCCCTCTGCTCCTGGAATTCATTCATCATATAGCACAGTAAAGGCAAGTATTACAATTATTACAATATCTTTTACTGTTTCAACAGCTATTGTTCCTTGAGGTTTTGTTTTGGAGTTGTGGGGTTTTGTTTGGTTTTTTTTTGCCCCTCCCTATTGCATGAAGTTGTTTTAAAAGAAGATAATTTTTTCCTGGCTAAGTTTGGATCACTCAATCATACAAATTGCAGGTTACTAGATTTGCATTCTCTGGTGTCAGTGTACTCCAAAGTATTCTTCAGGTTTTCCATTAAGTACAAGGATATTAATTAGAGAGACTAGAACAGAGATATGGGGGTATGGTGGCTTGGCCACACAGTGTGACCTCCTAAATTACCTGCCATTTTAAACCATTTCTGTATTTTGAATACTGCTGCTGATCTTAATTTCTGCTACTTTAAGATTTTCCATGAAGTGGCAGTCTATATCCATCACTTTGTTAATGTCAAAAATGTATATGAGTAGAATTTACTCTTTTGTCTGCTACATATTGGAACTTTCCTCTTTAGGTTATTTTCCGATGGTATTTGCCAGATTAAAGCTACAAAACAGTGAGACTGATGATTCCTTTGATACTATGTTTCTCAACTCTGTATACTAGGTTTCATCTAGATGATTTAATCATCTAGAAACAACACTCCTCTCCAATACCATGACAGTTTTGTCAGTCATCTATAGGACGTTACTAGGGCAAGTAATTCACGGGACTGTTGTTCCTAACCAATCCTGAAACAGAAAACTGTACAGAAAAATGCAAAATAACACACTTGCTATGAACAGTAATCATTCTTCAACGTACAGAAGAAAAAGCAGGAATGGATGTTAAATAAATACTACACACTTGATAAATCCTAAAGTGGAATGTGACAGATAGTCACTTGTAAGATTATGCTGCTTTGTTCAATCAAGTGGTACAGAGAAGTTATAGATTACAGAGGTGAAGACAGAGAGGGAAAGAGAGAGCAAAAGGGAAAGAGTGGAGAGAAGGAGAAAGATAAAGACAGGAAGAAAAATACTTTTCTTCCCTTTTTCCCCTACTGTTGCTGTAGAAACTAAATATCCAGTACAGCATCCATTTCAGTGGAAGATTCTTCAGACAAATGAGTCATTTGCTTGGATATTTGAATATGCATGACAATAATTTTATCTGAAAGTGGTGCGGTATTTTTCTCAGCCTAGTAATAGAGTTTGCTTATTTCTTAGCAAAATAGATGGGTTGATCTGTTGACTTTTTGGATGGTATTTATTTGTGATATGACTCAGCTAAATCTGGTCTGTTTCACTACGGAAACTTGTACTCTGTTCTTTGTAAAATGAAATACAAAATCCCACATAAACCCTGTAAACTCCTATAGATGTCACTAGAAATACATGTGGTTGCTCTTCAGTTTGCTTACCTGCTTTTCATTTCTACACCAAGGCACTACTCCTTGCGCCCTAAATGCTGATAATTGTTGAATATTGGATGCTGTTGAGGTTTCTCCCCTTCAATTTCTGCCTCTTTGATAAGTCACAGAGCTTAATTTTTCTCCTTTTAATCATCTACTCAAGAGATTGGAGATCAAATAAAATTTACTATTTTGTAACTACTTCAGATATTCCCCTCTTGGCTCTTATTTTTCTCTGCTTGATTTTAAGAGACCTTTAAGTTATCCTTCTGTTATTTTCAAAATAAAACACTTTCCTTTGTGCTCTGCTCTCAGCTGCGCCAAGGGAGCAAACAGTAGATCTTGGGGTTCTGGCTAGTTGACTATATACCTCTGTGAACACCAAGGAATCCTAAAAAATACAGTCAAATGTGATCCTGCAACTTGAGAGTATGCTGATCAAAAGCTTGCTACTAGCAGACAAAAAAGGAGGGGTTCTTGTTTTTAATAAAACTCTTTTTCCCAAGTTATAACCCAACAGCTTAAAATTATTTCTGACCCACTTAAATGCTTTCTTATAGGTATAGCTTTAAAAGTGTATATTTCCGAAATAGCCTTGAAAACCCAAAACAAGAACACAAAAGAACAGTACACAACTGCCACAGTCAATCAGCTCAGGCTCTGAATTGGATAAGTTGTCTTTGTTATCTGCTTTATCCATTCACATATTCTGTATGAGTGAGAAGTTAAATGTATTAAACCTACTGAAATTCTAGTAAGGCTTCTGGGAAAGCTGATTCAGGTTCTGTAAGTTGCTCTTCTGGTTTCTCCTCTTTCTTCTCTTCCATGCTGTTTGTTCTACTTGTGCTAGATGTTAGATCTAAAGGGAGGAAAGGGCAAGCAGAAAAGAAGAAAAAAAAAAAAGATAAATGAATGATTTACAAGATGTCATATGTTCACTCACCTTTGTCACTTGTGACAAGTTCCTAACAGTTCTGAAAAAAAAAAAAAGTTGTTTTTTTGACAACAATAATCCTGCCCAGGGTAGCACTCAGGCCAGTGTTTTTGGGACATCCTGAAGCGTTGTCCTGATTAAAGATACATTTGTGAACAGTGGCCTCTATCACTAGTTACTGCATCCCTTGCTGCGGGCTGTTTTACATTCTTGCAGATCAAACAAGCAGTTGTTCCTTTTCCAGTCCTTTGCCTCTGTTTCTTTATCAGGCTTGTTTTATCCAGTCCACTTGTTAATATGCATCTCTTTCCCTCTCCTTCTGTTCTCCTAGCACTATGAATATTTCCCTTTCACTGCAACTCTGATATCAGTTTTCATTGTTGGAGCTGGAACAAAACCACTCTCTGAACAGATATGCATGTCAGCAGTATTCCCTGGGCACGTTGTCACAACTGCCAACCTCAGAATTCAACTGACAATGAATAGTTCTGTAACAGAACTGGTAGCATATATTATATAAAATAAAAAAGTCACAAGAAAAGGGCACTTAAGAAGATTCCTCATTTTTAGCAGTCACATAATCAAATGCCAAAACCACATCAGTTCATGTAACATAGGAGGTTTTATTACCGAATGAGTAGAAACATTTTATATAACCTACTTTCATATTAAACTGCTTTTCTGAATTCTAACAATTATCATTCTAGTACCTAAAACTGATAACAATTTGTTCTGTGACTAAATACAGCAGGCTGGATACTTTTCCTATTAAAATGAGCACAAGGAAACAGAAAAAAAAAATCAGCAGAAAGCCACATAGTAAGCCTGGCAAATCAATGTAAAACCAAGGGAATGAAGTTAAACCAACTATTGACAGATGCACTCTAATCCATACGGTGCATGCCTTCTCGCTGCATTCACCATACCCTGAAGCAAGGCAATGTCAGCTTTCTGTATACAAAATAACCTTCTGCCCTAGAGGAGGAGCTGATGCCTGCTGATGAAATATGAGGGTGCTGAGGGCAGGCAGTGTGCTGTATATTGCAGAAAGGCATGTAAAAGAAATGCTCACTGTGTGGCAGCTCTGCAAGGTAAGCGAAAGAAAGTGTAAACACACCTTGGAGTCTATGTCCCCACACAGCTCCTTAGACCTTGGAATATCTTTTTCATAATGTTTTATGTAGAAGAATTTTACTCCCACTCTGTTGGAAATCTGCTCATGAAGATTTTGTCTGTTCTGCTGCTGGAGACAAATTCACACTCACAGGGACAATTGTCTAGAGCTGTAAGTTACAGTCTTTGCAACACCTGACTATTTATGTCGCAGATACAGCTAATTCCATTCACAGAAACCTGGAAAATTCTGAATTTCACCAGCAATATATTGAACTTCCCTCTGAAATGTCCCATATCAAAGCTTTAATGGTTTTTACACATTAGTAAAATATTTCTATTGTGGAACTTCAATACAACCATGCCTGTGTCACAGCATCACCACATGACTGCAGTAAACCTTACTGACATTTATTACCCAAGAAAAAAACCCCCACAACTTTTGTATCTGAGCATCCACTTGAGTCTGAAGCCATATTGTCCTTAATATTCACACATAACCTTTGCAGATACCAATTCAAGTTAAGCTTCTGTTTGATATAATATTTTTCATGAAACTTTTTAAAATCCTGAACACATGACTGTTGTAAAATTGAGATTTTTTAAAAAGTCCAAGTGAATTAAGAAAAAAAATCTCACTGAGACAGGAAGTTAGGTACTCAGCTCCCCTAGACCCCTTTGAAATTTCCAGCCTGAATGCACAAGTGCAGGATACATTTTTTAAGTATAAAAAAGAATCTGTCATCCTTCTTCAGTGCAGAATTAACTGGACTGGTATTGATTCCACTTTCACTTGAGCATTTATTTTACTGGTTTTCTTCAGAAATGGAAGATCACTGCAGCAATCCCTAACTTTTTTTTTTTTATTATTATTTCTGTCCCTTCCACTAAATGGATAATGAAATCCCCTGCTTAAAACTGGATACAGACTGAAACGTTTTGAGCAACAGTACTTTGAAAAGGTTTTGGGTTTTTTTTGGAACTCCAGCCCCAGGTGAGCTCCAGTGTTATATTTATGAAATTCTTCCTGTGCAGGAAGCAACAAGAAAGACTCCAAGTTGTACAACAAGGTAAAAAAAACATACTATAGTAACAGATTTGCTGGATTTTGCAAACTATAGAAAATACACACACATGAGAGAGAAGGGAACATATTTAGGGGGACTAAGAATTGACCGCAGATTTTAAACCAGCAGGAAAACACTTGCAGAGGGCAAGATCTGTTTCTTCTCCCAAACACACAAATTGCGAGGCTTATCTCTTGACAGAGCCCCATTATTGCTACCAGCACCTTCTCGATCAGTAACTACACTGCCGTTACATCCTTAGCAGAAGGCAGCAGATCCCCGCTGCTGTGACCCTCCAGTCGCTGCAGGGCCCACCTGTTATGGCGGCTCACCCCTCACACGAGCTCAGCCACCCTCACCAGGGCTTGCACTCACGCCGGTACCCCTGTGTCTCACGCAGCTGCGGTATCAGTAGCCTCCGCTCCCTCCGTCCCTCTCGATAATTACCTCAGCACTCTGCAGCCACACCGCAGCCCCTCCCCAGCCTCCACAGCAGGCTAACAAAGCCCTCGAACCCTTCCTGCGTGTCCCTTGCACATGTTCCCCGCTACCCCCTTCATCACCAGGCCCCTCAGGGGACGAAGCCGGGTCACCCCTCACAGCGGCCAGAGTGTCCCGGTCCGCAGCCACCAGACCCCGCTGGTGCTGCCGCTCTGTGCCTAAGCCC